ACTGCTTTCCCTGCTTCCACTTGCCCCTTTCCCATTCTGTCTATGCACAGCTGCCAGTTATCTTTTGAAAGTACATCAGGTCATGTTCTTGGTTACAACTATCTAAAACCTCATCTCATGCCCCACCCTCCTTTTCTCACTGCACTCAGGCCACACTGAGTGCTTTCCATTTTTTAACACATCAATATTTTCCCCTTTTAAAACATGCTTACTTTCAGCTTTGTTGGCCTGAAACATTCAATGCCCCATTTTACGTAGCCAGCTGGCCCTTTTTACCCAACTCTCAACTTGGAGCTCACCACCATTGTGAGGCTCTCCTTTACCTTAAAAAGATACCTCTCACCCACTTTCTACCACACAACTGTGTTTTTTTGTACATTTTACCACCTGAAATACCTTGCTCAATTTTTTGTCTGGATCCTCCCATTAGTATGTTAAGTTCCCTGGCAATAAGGACCTTGTCTTATTCATCCACATATATCCCCAGGGCCTAGAACAGGGCCTGCTGCATATCAGATGCTCAACTTGTTGATGAACACCATAAAGTAGATGGCATACTCATGCTGCAGATGAGGAAACGGGCTCAAAATGTCTGTTAAATATCTTGACCAAGGCCATGTGTTAGGAAGTGATTGGGTTCCAGGGCTTTGCGACAGATTGAAGGCTGGAGGAGGTCCTTGGGTCTCTGCAGTCCAGGTATTATGTTGTATGGTTGGTCAAGTTCTGCTGGGCAACACAATACAAAGAGCTAGGTTTTCAAGAAGGCACTCAGCTTCTGTAAACTGTCTCATGAAGCCCTGTAGGAGCTAATCTAGATTCACTAAAGATGATCAAGATCATAAATTCATCTACATAAGTCATATTCCACACAAAATATCCAAAGAGCTCAAAGGTCCTGAGGTTTGACAACTAGATTCATTCATACATGTGATTATATCTAATATTTCATATCCTTGCCCCAGCCTTCTTGCACTGGGCAGTGTTTTGGTCAAAAGTAAGTATCTGCACAAATTAATCAGTTAAAAATACTGTCTTTGCCAAGACCAGCCAGTTTATCATATTTACCTTGTCTGCAAAGGTCTACAAGGAAAGAACTACAAGCTGCAGAGAAAGTGAGGAGAAAGAAAGCAACGCAAGACAATCAGAAGTGGTAGTAAGGCAGGGCAAGTTCCTCTATTTTCTTCAAAAGTTCATTACACCTCTTCTGTTTTCATCAAGAGGATCTGTTTCAACAGATCCTTTCAAAAGTAAACCATCTCCCATATAGTCCTAAAGAGCTTTGCAAGGCCCTCAAGGGTCCTTGGATCCCCACTGGGTGCTATAAAACGCCACATATCAAGATAAACTGACAAAGGTCAAAGTATGGGATAAAAAGGGGTAGTTACTAGTATACTCAGGCACTAAAAACAGCTTGAAGACTTTTTCCTATAATCCAAGTTATATAAGGACATAAAAGGTTTAAGGAAAGCTACAAGGTGATTTGTATAGTTAAGTACTTTGAATTCCACTGTGATGGGCTCTAGAACTTGAAGAAAATCATCTGAACTCTTCACTGGGTAGGATGATATCAGTATATATGCCATGATTGTTGATCATTAAGGATATTTTAAGATAAGCTATTCTAGAAATACACTAAACAGATGTAGACAGCTGGATTCTGCAACTAATGAATGGTATTAGACTCTGAAATAGACAGTAATTTTTTATCTGAACATCAAACCTTTCTCTCACTTGCATACATTGTTAGTTATGTTTTCTTTTTTGTTTGGTTAGAGTTGAAGTCTCACTATATAGCCCAGGCTGGTTCTTGAATTCCCGGCCTCAACTGATCCTTCCGCCTTTGCCTCTCAAACAACTGAGATTACAGGCATGAGCCACCACACCTGGCTGATGGCTTCATTATATAATAATAATATACTAGGTTTTATTACAGAATACATACAAATAAAGAATATTCTGAGAAGTTTTCACAAGTTTCATGTCAGTCATGGGAACAAACAAGTAAAAAGACCATTCCTTGCTTAAGGACTTTCCCTAACATACCTGCTATTTTAGTCAAATTAAACATGCTTTTGGGGTAATCAATTCAGAATTAAACTAGTATTTTTAGATGTAGATGTCTCTTCAGAAATACTTGATAGTGATATTTCTGCTTTGTGGCACTTACACATATATAGTATTTGGCATAGAGTTAGACATGCTGCAGATTTTTCTGGGGAGAACACATCCTAAAAATAAAATAGGATGTATCAGAAGTTGAGGATAAGCATCCTATGAAATGTGTAAGCTACACATAATATGTGATCTTGAAATTTAGAGTTTAAGTTCACTTTAGCTAAATGTTATTGCGATTATAGAACATAAAATATCCTTAGGACACTTTTTGGTTTTGATAACTCTCTGCAGCCTGTGAGAGGTCTGAATTAGGCTACTTTCCCAAAAGTGAAGGATATGACAGATCTTTTATTAAAATGTTAACATGGCCAAAAGCCATCTGAAAAGCATTTTCCTAAATGCTCTTAATAAACTGCTCACCATCCAACAGCTATTGCACAGTGAAATAAAATAAAATATGCTGAAACAATAAAAATCACCTACAACTACTTCATGTAATAGGGATATCTGGCTGTGTACGTAGCCAATCTACATAGCAAGGTGCGTATTCTTTTCAAATTCAATGTTTCAGCTACATGGAGGACCCAAATAGTGTTTTAATCAAAGTTGTGCTCTTCCAGATTCACATTTGTGCAGCTGCAAGAACTCTAAAGAGCTTTACATATATCCTGAGGACATTACTGCAAAGCAGTTATTTCTGAACAGAAATCAAAGTATAATTTCCTTTTCAAATTCTATACAGTTTCAGCTCTCTATTCTAAAAAATAGTTCTAAAAGTAGTATTCTAAAAGTAGGGTGCATTTCTTATTCCTGCATAATCTGAAAACATAAACTATAACTTGCAAATGTATACAAAATATAAGAGGTCAATTACATTCACATTACTAACCTTCTTTTTCATTTTCTTGAAGGATATGGTTCTGTGTCAATCCATTTTGTGAAAATTGCATGATGCTCAGCTCTGGTAATTTGTATAGATTTTTTTACTCTGAACTTGGAAGAGGAATCCAGCTCTTCATCATATTTTTTGCTATTCTCTAGGCTTTTTCCACATATACCCTATTTCGGCTATGTACACTTAGATCTTCCTTTATAGGGTTCCTCCTAACCAAGAACTTTGGTTAGTGGAATCCCACAATAATAAATGACAATAAAAAATACTGTTAAAAATCTGCTTATTGTTTTTATGAAAGGAGATTAAATGTCATCTAAAAGACCAGGAAAGCAGATTATGAAGTGGTATTCAGTATGCAATAAACATGCCAACATTTCTCCAAGTGTTAAGTTTACAAAATCTGTTAACCAAATACAAATTAAGTATTAAAAAATCTTTTAAAGCTATTAGTGTTATGGAATTGTAGTGTTACTCTTTATCTTGTTTTAGTTATAAGATGCTCCCACCATTAGTTTTCAGGAATACTGTTTTATTTAAGTATCACTGTATGACAACCATGTGCTGGTGATTTACATGTGATTTCATCCTTTCAATAACCACTCAAGGTTAATATCCCCATTTTATAGGTGAGAAAATAAGACTCCAAAAGATCATACAGTTAGTAGAGGAGAAATACAAATATGACTTCATGGCCAGGCTTTTCCTCTTCTTCCAGCACTATGCCTTGTCACATCTCATTTAAAACTCAAAAAGTAAGTTATTTATAATAACTCAGTTTGATACTCTGTGTTTTCTAAGGATAGGGGTAAATAACTTTAAGAAAATTATAAAGTTATTTTTCTTTGTGGCAAAATGAAAATCTAATCAAAATAGTTGAGTTTATATGTCAAAACTTTAGTTTCCTTTTCATCAGGCAATAAATAAAACTAAAAAAGTATTCAAGTATAGTCACAAGTAATAATCCACAATTTTAAAATCAGTTTGCCTCAAAAGTATATTTTGTACCCCATGCTATGAAGTGTTGATGTGAAATACATCATACATAACCATTAAAGAGAACAAGGAGCACAAGAAGTTGTGAAAATGGTAAAAAATTTTAATAAAGTGGTGTGTAGTAGTTGGCATATACACTTGATATTACACATTTTCTTTTGAAGTTTTACTAAAAATAGAAAATGCTAATAAACCTTTTGGGGGAAATCCTTTTCAAATTCCATAATACAGAAACTTCAAAGAAAAAGTAGGCTTTAAAAGAGAACCAATATACATGCTATAACATGGATGAACCTCGAGGACATTATGGTAAGTGAAAAAAGATAGTCACAAAAAGACAAATACTGTATGATTTCACTTATATGAGGTATCTATAGTAGTCTTACAAAACTTACAAAAACAAAATAGAAGGGTAGTTGTGAGAGGTGGGGGAGAAGAGAGCAGGAAGAAGTGGCACAGAATTTCAATTTTGCAAGAGAAAAAAGTTCTGGAGATTGGTTGCACAATGTGAATACACCTAACACCACTGAAATGATTAAGATGGTAAATTTTGTTATGAGCATTTTTCTACAGTTAAATCTTTTTTCAAAGGACCCAATGAATTATTTATAAATGTGATAATGATATTGTAGTTATGTTTTAAAAACATTTAGAGATACATACTAATATTGGTATTTGCACGTTGATGAGTACATGGATGTTTCTTATACTATTCTACTTTTGTAAATGTTTGAAATTGTTCTCAGTGAAATAAACAAAATAACTTTTATAAAAGAGGGAACCAGTCAGGAAATGAAATTTCCTAAACCAAGAGGAGTCTTCTACCATTAAAATATTTGATTATAGTTTAAACATGTAAAATGTAGTAACATTTTCGCTACATTTGATAAATGTGGCACATCACTTATTTAGCTTTGGAGAGAGCTGCTGAAAACTAGAATGGTTTACTGGGTTTGCATTGGAAAAACTGTGGAGAAAATTACATGAACAGTCTAAGTTTGCTATGAAAACAATGTACTTTTATTAAGGTAATTAAAAGTCAAAAAAAAAACAACAACAAAAGGGAAATTCCACAGCCTTTGTTTGCAACTATATAATCTTTATGTAGAAAAACTATAAAGTGACAGTCTGATCTGGAAATCAGCTCCACAATAAACCTAATCCTAACATAAAGTTAACTACATTATGGAGTCAGTTCACCCAAAAGAAATTGTCTTGCTATAGAATATTTCAGCCGAGCTGATTTCAACTATATTATTCTCATTTCTGACAAACTGTATTTCCTGATATTTCAAATTACCAGAGATATACAAGAGCCTGTTGAAGTAAAAGGATAAAACAAATACTCCAAGCACAATTACATGTGAAAATGAATGAGGGCATTATATCTATAGATCTACAAAACTATACAAATTACCAATTATACATACAATCCATTTACATTGAAGCTCTATGAGGTGGTACTGAAAAAACACTGAGGCATTGAATTTTCAACAATGGAACAAGGCTCACTCTGAACAGCAGCACATTCCCACCTTTTAGTCTACCATCACAACACTTCCCCTGGGATTTGCATTTGTATATTATCTAAGTCCTAGAAAGTTGACAACAAAATTTAAAAAGCCGAAAGGATAATGAATTAAACACTCCCTAACATCTATTCTAAAACATGCATGTGAAAAGTGAAGGTCAAGCACTTTAGAGTTTTTACAGCCATGTTTCCTTCAACTTATACGAGGATCTTCACTAGTATCTGCACTGAATTTACTGTAACTAGGCTTTCCAATGATATGTAATAGAAGAGTAAAATAACAAAAAAAACCTTTAAGTGGTACTATGTATTTTTAAAAACCACTTTCTCTGCTTAAGTAATCACACTGCTGTGGTCATCAGAATAGTTTAAGTCACTTTGGCAATACAGACTTATTTGCTCTTATTTTGAATAATAATAATGATAAATTATTATCATGGCCATATCATTTTTCAGAACTTAGGCCACCATGGAGACAAATGAATACAGAATATCTCTAATAAATCAAAGTTTGATAATGATTAAAATTTCTTAAAAATATTTTCAAGTACTCAAGAATATTAAAAGTTAGGTGGAAAATATACAAGTCATAATCAAGTATTTCCTCCAAGATTCTTTAACTGGGATAAAAGTCTCAGGGTAAGCCCATAGAATGGTCTGCAATAAAGAAAAACCAGGTCAGCGTACAGTAATTTCTGCCAACTTTAGCAGAAAAGCCAAAAACATTCTAAGCCAAATAAAAGCATTCTTTTGGGTCAGGGCTTTTTGCTGGGTTAGTTCTTTAATCAATAACTTCTCAAAATGTTACAGCTCAGAGATTCTCGTAAGCTTCCTATCAGTAATAAGAAACTACAACATCAAAGATTCACCAACATGATCCTTTTCTATCACTGGTCTCTCTTTGGTAAGAAAGAGACCAACTCTTATTTTCTCTCAACTGTAGAAGAGAGGAGAGTTAAATGGCATTAACTTGGTAAGGAATCCCTGTGTATAAATATTAGGTTGGAGGGTAGAGAGCTTAAACCATGCCCTTTGTAAGAGCAGACAACAGAGGATTTTCTCTTACATGTAACTGTGCTAGAGGACAGAACTATTACATAGCTGCAACACAGTCTTTCCTGTAACTCAAAGACCATGCGCATGAACATTTTAGTAAACCTACAGAAATTTTGCTAAGTATCTTAAAGAATTTAAGCATGTTCTTTAGATAAGAAACAGATGAATAATTATAAAAATATGGTAGAATGTTTTTCCTCTTCCAAGTCACTAATTTCTGATCCCATTAAACTTTCATAGAATCCATGGAAAATTAAATAGGCTTACTCTAGATATTTTCTCATAAAGTAAAATTGGAAATAACCTAACAATACCATTTGCAATTCAAAAACAGAAATCCAGTGCAATCTAATGCACGCATTAACAAACATCACAGTATATATTTTACTAGCAATCCCTACCTACCCACCCACCCAAAAGGAGGCCACTTTTACCCGCTGTAAGATAAACTATGATAGTTGTGTCTGGATCCAGATAGAGAACTGCTAAATTCCACTGCAATAGGAAAAATACTACCTGTTAAGTACCTGAAATTGACCTAACATTTTCTACTCAATCCTGTTTCTTTAGACTATTATTTCTAAGCCTATACTAGATACCAGTGAATGATAGAGTGCCAAAATCTCCAGCAACTCAACAATACTGTTAATTTTGCAAAAAAAAAAAAAAGGTAGATTATATAAAATTCCATTCTCCCAAGCAATGATCAGGGGAGAAAAACATGTTACTTTTTAAATGGCTATACATATAGGTTTTTAAATATCAGCACCAAATGTTCACTTTTAATTCTTCTGAGCAAGTTTTAGGAATTAACAAAATGGACAGAACAGTGAATGATAAGGGAATAACTTTCAAGTAATATTTGCATGCTGATTAGAACCATTAAGTAAAATAATCTGATTGGCTCATTTTCAAAACTATTGCAGATTTGCCCAGTTTGGAAATAGCATGCCTCACTGCTCAGCTAATACAGCTACCCCCAAGTCATGGGTACAGCACATTTTGTGACTAGGCAAGATTAAGTAAAACAAATTGAAAAGATATTTTTAAAAAAGCAAGATAAATCAAGACAATCCATTATCAGAATAGTTTTCTACTTTCTCTTTTGGTGGGAAACCCCATGAAACCACTGTATAAAGTGCCTAAATAAAAAACTGAAAGCAAGATTCACAAGTAATAGTGTCAGTTCAAGTCTACATAACCCTTTATTATATTTATAGCAATATTATGATCAACATTATACAAGTTTTCATATTTCTTCCTCATACTATGGAATTTTATTCTCATCGACTTCAACTCTGCAAATAGTTTAAATCAACTTTTTGCACCTTAAATTTACAAACCACTGGATGTTAAGTTTCTTGAAAAATATTTTTAAATTTTACTTAAAAGCTATAACTAAAAACCAAATCTATTTTAAAAAAAAACAAAACAACTAAGCAGTTTTAAACAGAAACTTGTAGAAATATTCTGATACCAGTGTTTGAAAGATAGCCTACTGCCAGCAGACTTTATATAAAAGGGCAACTATCATACAAAGGAATTTTATGGCCAAACCTTATTAGAAAATTTCTTTTATAAATAAACTTTCATGATAAAAGATGAACTCAAAAGATGGAGATTTAATTTTCTCTTAAAAATAAGTAGTTGCTCAGAACATGGGTTGGGCATATTGAAATCATATCACTTCTCAGAAAAAAGAAAAAATGTTTTAGCCAGGCATTCCATTAACAAAACACCATACCATATCCACCTAGTTTTTTGATCTCTGGGTATTCAGTATTATCCAAGAGAACCTTACTGAAGAAATTGGTTAGTAAACCTACCAAGTAGGAGTCTCAGGTCCCTTAATTTGGATATTCATCTCAGCAAATATAAAACTTTAGCTACTTGAACATGAGCGCTTATAAAGTGCATTAGGTATAAGAAACACAACAGCAGTGCCAAACTCAACTTAGTAGGACCATAAGGGACTTGATATCACCAATGGGGCAAAAAAACAACATTATAGTTTTCTGTTCAGATTTTATTTGAAATCTAATTCAAATGGTCAAAGCTACAAAAGGGGGGAAGACATCTGTATTATTTTTCCTAAGTCACAACATCCTAAAACAAAATACTACTACTGCCAGCAGATCCATTATACACATTTCTGATGAAATTCATTAGCACAATAAAAATTTCATCTTGAGAAACAGCCACAACAAAAGTAATTTACACAATATAAAACAATGACAGATCTACAGATGCTGTTACTCATGAGTTTACACATGCATTCACAAACAAACAAACAAAAAACCCCAGGAATGCCTTTCATTTGATTTTTGTTTTTTTGTTTTTAAAAAACAGACCGTTCAGGCACGAAACAAAATTGCATTTCCAATAAATGACAGAATCTTAAAAATTTATGTCAGTGTTTGTTTTTCTTTGATTTTTTATGAGACCTGTGTGGAGATCGGGACTGAGATCTGGATTTCTTCCCTGATTTTTTAGGGGATCTAGACCGTGACCTTCTAGATCTTTTAGGTGTCCTTGAACCAGATGGAGATCTGAGAAAACAAACAAACACAAAACCCCAATTTATCAAAATACTCATGTGATCAAAACTAATTATCCTTAAATTATCTAAAATGATCTTTAACAGAGACAATGAAAGTCACTGAAATAAACAAAACTGCAAACTTCTCAAACTTATTCTCTGCCTATTATACACATAAATACACAAGGATTTATTTTGTACTTACTATGCACTGCATCACTGATCATCAGTAGAGCGCTTGTTTAAAATAAGAGATTTCTGAGCCTTACCACTGCTCTACTGAATCAACATCTCTAGAGTTAGGGATTGAATACTGGCATTTTTAACAAGCTCCCAGGTGACTGTTATCCCCAAAATTTGAACCTCTAATCCACAAGATAAAGTTCAAAATTGCATCTAAGATCGTTCACAATTTAAAAAACAAAGCAGCTTTGCATCCTATCACTTTGAGGGAAAAAGCATCAATTACTGCAATATCACTCAAGGACATCACATAAAACAGCATAATTTTGTAACTGCTGTTAAAGATTATCAAAACAAATAAATATACATGTACATATACATACACATATATATGCAAGTGCCAGTTAGAAAATAGCTATTTTATAAAGATTTTACTAAAAATAGTACAATAATAAAGTGTTAGCATATGAAGCAGTTTTAGCTCTACAGAAAATTCCTCTATATAACACCAGATAAACAACATAGTTCTAGAACCACTTTTCTATAACAAAAAGGAGAAAAGTATATAAAATACTAAGTTATATACTGAAGAACTAGTCTTTATGGTATGCATTTACATAAATCTCTACCCAAAAACTTGCTAAATACTATTACTATGGAGGGATAATGTGTTTTTCTTTAAGATTTTGCAAAAATTAAAAAATAATTCTATAGAAACTAAAGAAAAGAATGAAAAGTAAAGTAACTACCCCTCTGCCACAGGAAAACTGGTTGGTCTTTACTTGTTGGACACCTTCTTGTACTTTAGTCACAAAAGAGACTGGGATAGGGAGGTGGAGAAGAATAACCTAAAATGAAAGTGCATCTTTTCTGTTTTCTAAAATCCTTTTTTAAAAAGTATGCCAACGAAATTATTTTCAAAAGCTGGTGACATGACAAGGAAACTGGTATTTGAAATATTATCAAAAATGACTTGCATTTACCTTTTGGCTTTTTTGCTAACATCTCTAGGAGAATCTTTGTGAGATGACCTGGACCGTGAGCTTTCTTTATGAGATCTTTCTGAACGCTCTGATCGCTCCGATTTTGGTGACGGGGATTTCACTCGTCTACCACTGCTACTGCGAGATGGGCTGGGGGATGTACTGTGTCGCCTTTTCCTATGGAACAAAGCCCCCGAAACATTCCATAAGTAAGCAAAGGATCAGATATTCATTTTCCTTTCCTAAATTAGCTATTAATTCCTACCAGCTTACTCTAACTTATTCTCACTAGCCATATTAATGTTATTTTCTAATAAAATTCAATATTCTTTATACCAGGAACAAACAAGCCAAGGATAAGTTGATTAAGAGACAAATGAATTCGGATAAACCAGATTTTCTCTTGTTATAAGAGAGATTATTGGAACAATAGGCAAAATTTAATTAAGGTCTCTGGATTAAAGTGGTTTATTAAAAAAAATGTTAATTTCCCGAACTGATACTTTTATTATGGTTAAATGAATGTGGCTAAGAGAATGGAGTATTGTGTTGGCAAATTATTCTTAACCAGTTGGAGGTGGGGCAGAAGAAAAAGAATAAGGCAAAAGTAGAATCTAGGAATTCTTTATACAATTCTTGCAACTTTTCTACAAACCTGAAATTATGTCAAAATAATAAAAGACAAAAAAGTGACAGATTTTTTATTTAACCAATTGGGTATGACTTTGTTATTTGTAACTACCATAGAGTGACTAAGCCAGAATTTTTTGTATTTGTAATCACTTGGTTTTTTATTACGAAATCCTCAGGTTCTGTTACTGAAGCAATTTTCTTTACTAAATCAGAGATTTAGGAACTGTGAAAGAAATAAAAACTGAAAGAGAAATGCTTTTGATTAGAATGAAGACGTAAAGTGAGGGGCAAATCCCTATGGTCTATGTATACAACCTCCTTGCAAGACAAGACTGAAACTCAAGTTTACAGGTAGCACCCTCAGCACATAGAGACTGGAAAAAATGCTTACATTGGAGGCAACAATGAAGATCTAGCAAGCCGTTTTGTTATTTAAGCCTCAGGTTGATACCTAATACTGTAATTGAATTCTTGCATGGAACTGAGTCTAAGGATACCATATGAACCATGTAAAAGGATGACGCCCCAGTTAACTAAGCCAAGTACCAACTAAATGCCCCATTTCTCAGCTAATTCTGCCTCCTTCAGGCAGGAGCTAACATGTTTATCATGAAAAAACACTTCCAGTTTGTTGGCATCCGTGATGAAAATATAAAATGAAACACCATTCCAAATCTTGAAATCAGTATATGCATTAAATATGAGAAATGTTATACCTTTCTTTCCTTGTTGGAGTACACTCATCTTTTTCCTTCTTGTCTTTGGATCGAGATTCCAATTTTTCTTTATCCTTCTTGTCTCTTTCTCGTTCTCTTTCTAATTCTTTTTCTTTCTCCTGTTATTTTTTAAAGAAAACATTTGACTGTTTAAAAATACCAATCTGGATTAATCTCATTTCTATAACAATAGTTTCTCTTCTGAGAAATAATTTTTCAAATCACTATTTAAGGTACAATACCATTTTTAAAAAATAAAAATAAAACACTACCCTTCCAGGAAATCTGTTCATTTCTTCTTATACTGAATAAATAATACTAGCAATGGCAGCTAAACATTTACTCAGTGCTTACCACAGGCCAAACAATGTACTAAACAACCTTCCATAGACTATTTCATGTAATTCTTTAAAATACCCCTAGGAAAAGTACTATTATCCTCATTCTAGAGATGAAAATTCAGATTCAGACTAAGAACCATGTCCAGGGTCACACAGGACAGTAAAAGTCAGGATCTCAGTCCAAGCTCTAGAGTCTGAGCTTTCCCCCCAAATTAGAAAAAGCTAACAATGCACTGACCTTTCCATCACAGATCACAATAAAATAATTGGTGAAAAGTGATTCCCCTAACTGTGTGGCAAGTTGATTTAATCAAGAGTTCTTACCAAGAGAACAGGCTGGAAAGAGAAAACGGCTATTCACAATAATCTTCCATCAAAATTTTATTAGTGAGGAACAAGTACCAATGGTATTAGATATTTTAAGTTCTGATTGATAAAAAATACAACTGACTACATAACTATACAATTACATAAATCAGAGCAGTAACATTTCCTTATTTTCAGATGCTACAACTGCCACTTCTCACTTGAAATTCTGATTTCTGTTGGTAACTGTATAAAGGAGTAGCTATAGACATGAACCCACAAGACTAACTTAGCAATTTTCCTATGACTTGTATTCATTAAGAAAGCTATCTGATAGCTGACCCTTCTAATTTTTTAAAAGGTTAAAAAAACCTATACCAGATATTGGCAAATGTTTTTTGTATAGAGCCAGGTAAACAGATATTTTTTGCTTTGTGGGCCACATACAATCTCTGTCACAACTGCTCAACTCTGCCACTGCAGCATGAAAACCATCATAAACAACACATTAAGTGAATGGGTACCATTGTACTCTAATAATGCTTTATTTACAAAATCAGGCAAGGACCATATTCTTCTGACCCCTGGCTACATGCTACTCTGAGGAAACAAATCCTTCTCTCCAATTATAATCATAGAATGCAAGGAGAATAAAGTAGTAATACATGTATTATTCATTTTGAGCTTGCTACTCATCAGGACCAGTGAGCACCTTAAGGTGTAATCTCCCACAAAGACCAGATCAGCTCCCTGCCACCATTTCCAAAGGGACTCATGGAGTATAGATAAGTAGCTTATTTTTTAAAATCTCATTTATCTTTTTTCCAAATATAACAGAATACAAATTTTTAAAAAGTGGTGCTAACTCCTTAACTGACTTCCTTGGATGATATGTCAATCCATTTTCCTGAATGATAATGAAAATGATTTTCTAATTGAAATGCCTATTTTATAGAACTATATATACTATAGCTAAAATACTTAAAATATTTTAAACATTCTAATTCGATAATAAAGAGTAACAGTAATAATAGTAACTATTATCTAACTCATAACATTACAAAATAGGAAATATCAACCCAGTTTCACAGAGAAACAGCGGACTACAGTGACTTGCCTAGGAGTACACAGTAGAGAGCAGCACTAGGACTCCACAGATTTGTGCAGCATCATGTCTGCTTTACCAGACTGCTCATCATCACTTCTGCTCATTAGCAGCTTTGTAGTGATTGTAAGCTCCCTCCTATAGCTTTTCCTTCTCTTTCTATAAAATCTAAAATTTTTTTTTTTGCAATGACAGTCAAGACACAGATTAAAACTAATAGGAGTCCCCCACCCCCACCCCCGAAAATTCCTGGATCCCTTCAACAATCACTGTGTGGAGCTCCTGGTTCTCAAATTCTCTGTATATTCCTAAACAATTTTGTCATGTATGAGAATATGAAGTCCCTCAAATGGTCAGAATTCACCAGTGAGGTATTCTACCACTTGCTGTCCCTCCTTAAAAACAATGGGAAGTGAGTCCTAAATTAACTTCTCAATACCAGAACTTCCCAAAGCCTGTCTCCATCTTTGTGCTACTTCTCAGGGTTGTTGGTGTCTCACGGTCACAAATGTGACTCCTCCTGAAGGGTCTTCCAGTTTTGAAAGCATGCTCTTAGCAGGATTAATTTTCTAGTCCACAAGTAACATACAGAATAAAATAAGTGTGCTGCTGCCTTAAGACTCCTTTTCCAAGTTGAAATGATTTTAAAACATCAAGTTTCAAATATTTCTAATTGTATCCCAGTATTCAACACTTAGACAGCAAAGAATATAATTTTAAATAGACTTTAAGTATATCAATATACCAATATTCTAAGAAATCAAATAAATAACTTGGGAAAATACATGTTATTGAGTATACTTATTCCTTACTCGTTGAAGAAGTTTATCTCTGTAGTGTTCTACTTGTTCCTGAAAACTCTGGCCTGGTTTTTTAGGTCTTTTTCCAGATTCCAATTCATCCTGAAACTTCATAACTTTGAGCTGTGAAATAAAGATTTTAAAAATAAGTATTTTTATCACTATAGCTTCGCAAGCACTACTTTGCTCTTTTTCTACAGCAATACGGTAACTGATTAGTTCTCAATCAAAATACCACCTCATCTGAAGGTCATTTGTCAGGCAAGTCTAACTATGCAAAATTCAACTGACCATGAGCCCACATGTTCTCTGCACAGCCATTAGAGAAATCAAAAACCATAAACTGCCTCATACCTGTAAGAACCTATTTATTCTCTCACAATACAATTATAATGAATTTGTTATCTGGTTCCCCAAATTAGAAATGCATGGCAAGGTTGCTAAAGCCAAGTATACTTCCAGCAAGATATGAAAGCCAACAGAACACAGATAAACAGAAAAAAGGCAACGGCACTGTAGTTCAGCTATGTAGGACCAAACACAGACCGGCGCAGTATGAAGGTTTCTATTTACAGCATAGTGCAATAACCGGACATCAAAACACAAAGAAAAGGTTAAACCATATTAAAAATGTACTTTTTTAAGACAGTAAGAATAAATACTGATTTTAAAAAGACCAGAAAAACTTCCAACTCCATTTTTACAAATTTTCTTTTAGAATGTCCATAAGTACACAGACTACAAGATATTCACTACAGCATTGTTTGTAAAAGTAGACCATCTCATGTTCACCAAGAGATTTGTGGCTAACACACACACACACCCAAGTGTGTGTGTGTGCACATGTGCAATAGATAAAAATATGAAAGCATATATAAAAAAGATATAATCAGTTACAGGAAGGGAAAAAAATGGAATAAGTGAGCCTAATTTTACTTTTTATTCTGGATATTTAAGCAAAATATTATATAAAAAATGGTAAAGAATAAATTCATGATTTATTTTGAACTTAATATTTCACAAAATGGTTACAATAAAAACTATTTGAAGGCATGAAGGAACTTAACTTATCCAAGAAATTTACAAAGGCAAGCATACCTTTTTATTGAACTAAGGGAGGGCAAATAAGGTAAAAAGCACCAGGTCTTGGTAAAGACCTCTGGAGGCAGAGGTGGAAAGCACATGGATCCTAGATGGTACCACTGAGATGCAGTCCCAAGCCTGTCCTATTTTGTCATGTTCCACTTAGAGGAGGGGGAGGAAACATTATTGTCTAATGAAATTATTGCATATGCTAACACCTTATCCTATTTTATTCAGACATTGAGATGTCCTTTAAGTGAATTAAATGCTACTATAGCATTTTATTTCTATTTCAAAAGCAAGGCCTTATTTGTTAAAAGCTTTTTTCCCCTTCACTACAAAGGAAGTTTTCCAACATAATGGGAACTACAAAAACATTTTTCCCACATTCAAAGTGGTACTTCCACTATTTTTGACTTACTGAATGTTTAAGTTCCCTGATTTTTATCCTTTGTCTATTTTCATTTCTGTGCTCAGGGTCTTTTATAATCAGAACTTTGAGGTTCCCTCCTCCCCTTTTTTCAAAACCATGAAGGCTGGGTGCTCTGGCTCATGCCTATAATCCCAACACTTTGGGAGACCACAGCACAGGAGGATCACTTGAGGCCAGGAGTTCGAGACCAGCCTGGGCTACATAGTAAGGCCCCGTCTCTACAAAAAATGAAGATATTAGCCAGGCATGGTGGCACATGCCCATAGTCCCAGCTACTCAGGAGGCTGAAGCAAAAGGATTGCTTGAGCCCAGGAGTTTGAAGCTGCAGTGAACTATCCCTTTAAAAGTCTGCATTGTTTTCCCTGCTTTATGATTACATTTTAAAACATAATAAGATGTAAGGTTGACAAAGTATGGGGGCAGAGGGGTCAAGTTCACCACTGTGTGAAGTCTCCCGTGACCTAAGTGACCCTTCTATAGAATGTATTTGTAGTAAATCAGTTTAAGAGTTAAGTGTCCAAGAGTCAAACAACAGACCTGAATGTTACTCAGGGGAAAGGAGGCAGTCCTAGAGAATCTTTTTTAAAAGTTATCATAAAATCATTATTTATAGTTCCTGCTGATATAGTCTAACTCAGGCTCAAGCACAAGTAGAAGGCGCCCAGAGAAAAGATGACCAAGGGTCTCAACACAAAAAGAAGTGGTCCATGCAATGACTTACTAGCTATCCATCCCCCTGATGCTTTGGGACAATAGCTAGGTATCAGCTTCTGCTCACTCATTCCTCAGGGACCAGGGCAGACCTTTCTCTTCCAACATAGAAGACCCACCACTTCACTCACTCCCCACCCACTATGCTACTCCTCCAACCTCTGCTGGTAGAAATGGGGATAACAGTAGAATAGGAAAAGATAACTAGCCTAGGCGCTACTCTAAGTGGTATCTGAAAGATGAAGTACTTCTGATCAATACCACAATATAATATGGCTACAGGTTTTTTGTAGTTTTTTGTTTTTACAGAGAATGTTAATATTTTATATCATAAATCATTTGGTTTTCTTTAATCCCATGCTAAAATGTTCAGCTATAGGCACCTTTATTAGGACACATTGAGGGAAAGGAATAGCCAAAGGCAAAATTATAACATATACATGATAAAACTAATTTAGAACTTTATTCTTTATTCAATGGTTCTCCAAAAAAAGGATTAGTTCTCACGGGATTCTAAATCCAGAAACTGGTATTAAAATTTAGGGGCAAAGAAGAAAGATAGGAAAAGCGCTGGGATGAAGCTCATGAGCCCTGAGTTCTAGTCTAAATTCATCACCAGTTGTGGAAGTTTTCCATATGACTAAATCTTTAGATAATTCTAGGATGAAGCTAAGATCTACATTTCAAAATTAAGATTTAGTTCATAGTCCAAATCCCAGGAAAAGTTGTGAGGGCTAGTCACTATGAGAGCTGGAAAAACAATCACTGAATATATAACAAAGTAGGGAGGGAGAGATCAGATCATAAAAGATCACATGAAGTATGGAAATGTATGCATGTAAGGGGTGTGTGTGTGTGCGCGCGCACGCACATGCACAAATGTATATACACAGTGTGGAAATGATAATATTCATAAAAACCACCCAAGTTAACAAAAAACTAAATTATATGGTTTCTTTAACCACTTTGGGACCAGCATCGACTACAGTCGATAGTCACAGATAAACACGCACAGCGACTTTAGCCGACAGCCGTGATATGAAGGTGCACAGCCGAGCATCAACTTTAGCTGACAGCAGTGATATGACTTTTTTAATTTTTCATTTATCAAAATAAAATTGAGAACATTTAAAAATAACGTAATGAAAACATATATGTTACCTATTCTGATTTACATTACAAGTAAAGCTGCCTGTAAAGTAAAACGAGCTTTTAGTGCTTTAAAGCTCTCCTCATCACACAAGAGCAAAATGGATTCGTCGTCAATGCACAGCACAAACTATCGTGCAGACCATGAGGGCCAGCTGTGGGCAAGGTTTCGCGGCCTGTGAGCGCAGTACCAAAGTGGTTAAGTTAATAAAGGAAACAGAACATTTTAAAAGGATTCAACAGTCTTTTTAGGCATTTAAAGGGGGCAGCTACAATTAACAACAAAATACATTTTTACTGAACTCAGTCTTTATTTCTACTCCAATAGTTTCAAAGCTCTGAAAGAAAAAGCTTCTTAGTAAGGTGGGAGGAATAAAAAAGAGGTTATGTGCAAGCAGGTTGAAAAGGTCCACAGGTGAATGTGTTCACTGACACACATCTTATTCCCCTAAAAATCTTACTAAAAATGTATATAAATATACTCCAAGAAAAATGAACCAACTTAGTAAATCTGAAAATCCCTCACTTATAATTGACACCATGGTGATTCTGCATGGAGTTAAAACAAAATGCTTCCTCTTTTCAATTTGGTGTTACCTGAGAAAGAGGCAGACAAGAAATCATACTAGCTCAACAGTGACTATGTGGCGAAATGGAAATGAGGTAACTAACGTGGCAGATATGATAAATTAGTAAGAGGAACAGTACTGACACACAGTAGGTATTAAAAAGTGCTCTTAAATGAAGAGAAAGAGTATTAAAATTCATTCTCATGCATTCTTTTTAGATTCCAAACTGACTGCTATACTATTGCTAGCATTTACTGAAATGTTTCACCATTTCAAGGTGTTTAACCACCTTGGGGCATTATGAAACCTTTCTCTCTCTGATATATCTGAATAGCCTTTGATAAAACATAAGGCATCAAAAAGGAGAGGGGATGAAAAAAGAGAGGGAAAAGTCTGCCTGTGATAGCCTGGGCTCTCCCATACATGATTCCCCTCCCCTTTAATGTTAGGATCTACCTAATGTCTACTCTCCCTCTCATCATTAAAGGTACAGACATTTAATAAAATGTAAACATAACTTGAACATGCCAGAATTTTTTTTAAGAGATGGGGTCTCACTCTGTCACCCAGGCTAGAGTATAGAGGTGTAATCATAGCTCACTGCAGCCTCAAACTTCCAGGCTTAAGCAATCCTCCTGCCTCAGCCTCCCTAGTCACTGAGACAACAGGCACATACCACCACACCCAGCTAACTTTCAAATTTTATTTTGTGGAGAGACAGGGTCTCACTGTGTTGCCCAGGCTGGTCTCAAACTCCTGACCTCAAATGATTCTCCTGCCTCAGCCTCCTAAAGTGCTGGGACTACAGTAGAAAATATTTTCCTAGTTACATACTATGTACAATCAAAATGTAATGGATTTCCTACATTACATATGCATATTACATATGCATATACACTATTACATAATCTATTCATTAGAATCTGTTTCTTCAGAGACTCTCCTATATGTTATGTACTAAAGATACGATGATGAACAGAAATCAAACATGGTCCTTAGCCCTCATGGAAACTGCAACCTAGTGGGGAACATAGACATTAAACAAGTAAGCAAAGAAAACATATATACATATATAAACACCACAATACACATAAAATCACAGAGAGATAAAAAAAGGTGAAGCAAGCAAGTCCAGAAGGGTAAGAAAAAATTGTGAGGGAAGGAAGGCTTAAACTAAGGCCTAAAAAAGAGCCAACAGGTACGAAGATTTCAAAGCAGAGAGAGAACAGCATGTACTAACTAAGCTATAACATCAAGAGGAAGCTTAGTTTGGTGGACAAAGTGAAAGGCCAGTATAGTTTAAACTCATTGCAGTACTAACCTCAATTTCACGAAGTTTAGCTCGTTTTTCCTCACTCATTTCAGAGTACTTAGAGAACTTGGACTCAGTCATTTCTTCTTTGATTGGATTAGAGTACAGATGATGTTCTTCAGACTTGGAACTTTGAGTATCTTCTTCATCTTCACTTTCTTCTTCTTGACTATAGAAATAAGCAGAATACATTGTATGACAAGGCAGCAAAAAAAGTGTTACACTTTACAATATAGGTATTTTGTTTTTCAGTGTTAGAGCTTAAGTAATGTTATTAATAGTAAAACATAAGAGGATAATTCATCCCTAAGATAATTTTTACAAAATATTTGATCAAATATTTTATAGACAATTTTATGAAATTCTTGTTTCCTCCACAGAAAAGGTATGAGCTCCAGCATAATCATACTTTAATAAATTCCGTTTTGGTTCTAAATGCTCATTGAAAACATAATAAATAAATAGATTCTGCTTATGTTAATGGTATATGTGTCTTTCATTCTACAACAAACTTTCCTTGAAGCAGTTAAATGAAATGAATAATCAATGGTTTCTGCAAACATTAGTTCAGAATGAATTAATGAAGCTTTGTTTTAAAAGCCAAATGTGTATCCTTCCTTTATCAGAGCCTATAATCTAGAAAAAACACAAGTTTGAGTCATAGAATTACTATGAAACAATACTGCATGTAAAGACCTTATCTGATTAACACATAACCCTAAGAATAAAGTAATGTATAAATTTTAAATATTAGCAAAAGTCAGTACTTATGGCTGATTCTGAAAGTTGTATTGCCTTTGGGTCAGACAAGAAGAAAATGAAAACCTGAGTGACTACCATGGGTAAGTTTTTTAGGATACAAAGAAAAACATTCTCCTATCCTTCCAGAAGCAATCTAGTGGAAAAAGACAAGCATCAGTGCTAGAATAGGATTAACAAAATGTTCTTAAAGCACAAAGAAAGAATGGCTTTAAAAAAAAAAAAAAGTTTCACATTTTGAGACTGGGTTTTGTGTATGTGTATGTTATTAGTAAATAAATCCAGGCAAAACAAGACATCCATGTACTAACAAGCTCAGAATGTTTATGCATATACCGACAATTCCTTACAAACAATATAAATTGTGATAATAACATTACTGACATATCCTGGAACAAATATTATTTTGCCTTTAATATTTGAACATGGTAAGCACTTCTACATTGATATATATTGGTATATGGGTACTAAATACATTCTATAGTAAGCAGAGTCTTTTTAGTATACACTTAAAATTATTCCTAATAATGTAAAAATAGTTATAAGCAAAATCTTTCCAAACAAAATTTAATTAAAGCCTTATATAATAAGATTCACATGCTGAATGAGAAAAATTTAAGCCAGACAGATAAAAAGGAAATGTTGGCAAGTCAGAATCAGAAAAGATATGGTACTGAAACAATGACTCTGCTATTGTTTAATCTCTCATCCAAAGGTCCTTTCCAGAATATTACTAAAATATTTTACAAACTTCATAGTCAGAGCCTCCCCCCAAATCATTTATATTACATATAGGTACAACTCAATACAATACTTAGGTAAGGGTCAAAACCAACCATTAAAAAAATATATTCTTTTTGGAAATAATCAAACTTTAAACTTAGTACTTCTTGTTAATTTTCCAGAAACTTCCTACTTGCAGGTTTTAATTAATTTTTAGAACACAAGAATTCCCTTTTTTATGATTTGTGGAATCTATGCAATTGAAATTATTTAACCAATTACAGCCTGTCATTTTAAATTTTTCCCTTTTTTGCAATTTCAAACATTTCTTGGTAAACATCCTTATATGTTGATGTGAATGCTTTTATTCAATCACAGATGAATACAGAACAGGTAAATACATGGATTGACACAGAATATCCATGGCATGAATGAACATGGGTCACACAGTGGTTTGTACAGTACTATATCATTTAGAAAAGATCTAGATAAATAGACATTAAACATTGACCATATTATTTAAGACTTGTAAAATGAGCTATAATACTTTAATGACTTAAAATATATACATACTTTACAATTGTTATTGTAACTTTTCAAGCCTGAGCAGTTTGTTTTAATGGGTTTCGTCATTAGCTCTTAGTCACCAGGTCTAGGTTCAAATCTCATCACAGCTTCCTCTTGTGAAAGTGGAAATTCAAGACTAAAACTATACAGAATTCATTACAAATGAAATTACTTTTTGTAACTTTTCTCCAAAGTATTAGTAGTGCTATATTTTTCTTTAAATAACATTTCTGCCACAAATGCAATAATTACTAGTTACAAAAAGCAGCCTTTTAAATTTGATCTGGTCCCATTTATTTATTTTTGTTGATGCTGTGATTGCCTTTGGGGTCTTCTGCATAAATTCTTTGCCTAAGCCAGGAGTCCTCAAACTTTTTAAAGAGGGGGCCAGTTCACTGTCCCTCAGACCATTGGAGGGCTGTTGCAAAGTGCGGCGCACATTCCACGCATGCGCACTGTGGGCCCAGGACAAGTTGGCTGCTAAGCAGGACAGGCAAAAACACCCAGGCAGACTGGATAAATGTCTTTGGCGGGCCGCATGTGGCCCCCGGGCCGTAGTTTGAGGACCCCTGGCCCTAGGCCAATGCCTAGAAGAGTATTTCCAACATTTTCCTCTAGAATTCTAATAGTTTCACACCTTAGGTTTAAACCTGTTACCCAGAGTGAGTTGATTTTTGTGAGAGGTTAATGGTGTGGATCCTGTTTCAGTCTTCTACATGTGGCTGTCCAGTTTTCCCAGCACCATTTATTGAATAAGGATTATTTTCCCCAGTGTATGTTTTTGTCTGCTTTGTCAAAGATTAGATGGCTATAAGAAGATGGTTTTATATCTGGGTTCTCTGTTCTGTTCCACTGGTCAATGTCCTTATTCCTGTGCTTCCTGATCAAATTAAAAAGCTTCTGCACAGCCAAAGAAACTGTCAGGAGAGCAAACAGACAACCTACAGAATGGGACAAAATGTTCGCAAGCTACATATCCGATAAAGGGCTGTTAACTAGAATCTATTTAGAACTCAGGAAAATCAGCAAGAAAAAATCAAACAACCCTATCAAAAAAGTGGGCAAAGAACATGAACAGAAACTTTCCAAAAGAAGACACAATAATGGCCAACAAACAAATGAAAAAATGCTCAACATCTCTAATCATCAGGGAAATGCAAATCAAAACCACAATGAGATATCACTCATCTCCAGTGAGAATGGCCTTTATTAACAAGTCCCAAAACAGTAAATATTGGCGTGGATGTGGAGAGATAGGAACACTCCTACATTGCTGGTGGGACTGCAAACTAGTTCAACCTCTGTGGAAAGCAATATGGAGATACCTTAAAGCGACACAAGTAGATCTACCATTTGATCCAGCAATCCCATTACTGGGCATCTACCCAAAAGAACAAAAGACACTCTATAAAAAAGACACCTTCACTCAAATGTTTATAGCAGCATAATTCACAATTGCAAAGAGGTGGAAACAATCTAAGCGTCCATCAATACATGAGTAGATTAATAAAATGTGATATATGTATACCATGGAGTACTAGTCAGCTATAAGAAACAACGGTGATATAGCACCTCTTGTTTTTCCTGGATAGAGTGGGAACCCATTCTACTAAGTATTCCAAGAATGGAAAAATAAGCACCACATGTACTCACCAGCAAATTAGTTTCACTGATCAACACCTAAGTGGACTTATAGGAATAACATTTATCAGGTATTGGGCAGGTGGGAGGGGGAGGAGGGGATGGGCATATATATACATAATGAGTGTGATGCGCACCATCTGGGGGATGGACACGCTTAAAGCTTTGACCCGAGGGGGAAGGGGGAGCAAGGGCAACATACGTAACCTTAACATTTGTACCTTCATAATATGCTGAAAGAAAAAAAAAAAAAAAAAACACCAAAAAAAACCAAACCAGCCTTAAGTAAAATGGCATTTTGGATTCAGCCACTAGAGAGCAGTATTGAGGCACAAGAAAATTTCAAGCATAAGAAAGGTGTAGTGAAAGTTTTTTTCCCTTGCTTTGTGCTTTCATAGTTATTTACATTGTCATGATTTACCCAGAGTTCCTAAGAAAAGTCAAAAAATATAAATTATACTTCTAGTGATCCATGTTTCTATTAACATATGGCTATTCCAACATCACTGCTAAAATGTATTCATACTCCAAACATTAACACAAATAACACTTTTATGCCAAAAAGAACCTTAAGCCTTTAGAAATAAAACCAACAGTACAATATATTTAAGTTCTTTGATGGCTTTTCAACTCTTCCTTCTCCTTAAATTATTTTAAGAGTACATATATTCATTTTAAAGCAGTGAATCTAAAATGGTAAGATGTTATTAATGATAGGGTCATGGACATAAAAAGGGTTAAAACTATTGCTTTAAAGCAAAAACTAAACTGTTCTCAATTCTTGTATTCCTAAACAGCTTTAGACAACTCTTTGCATTAGCAAGCCACATCTATATTTTATAAATATTTTGTCATAATTACTTGCTGACTTATTCTGATCACACCAACATTTCTGGGAAAACATTACTGTGGACAAGTTTTCATCATCATATGAAACTGTTTCTACAAACTGTTGATTGATCACATTTCCCTTGTAATCCAAACACCAATTTACTGAATCTACACAAATGCCCATATTGAGCTAGCTAGGACACAAAGGACTTTCCCTTTGTTCTCTCTTCCTTCCATCTGAGAACAATAAAAGAACATAGAGATTAAAAACAAAAACAAAAAAACCCAGAAACTTCTGCTTTGTGTTAGTAATGCCATTTCTTCCTAATTAAAAAAATCAACTTCCTTTTCAATGATTTAAAAAAATGTCAATCACATCCTAAAAACTAACAATACCAATCTGTAGGAGAATTTGGGAGCAGATTCCTACAATCACAGTGTCAAATATAAAAACAATTTTAGGGTGATTACCAGACAGCAAAAATCAAATTTATAAATAGTTTCTCTATACTTCAAAGGAAATGGCTTTCCTCACCCCCATTTATTCATTCTTAGTTCTTCTGAAGTATTTACATTTAAATAACAAAATGGTCAAAATGCAATACTTTTCTTAGTAATGTACAATCCAAAAGAAAAGGAGCATAACCTTCCCTACTCACATTTTAAAAATCACTTTTGATGAAGCCAAAAACAATATTTGATAGCAAAGATTTGAAACAAATGCATCTGATCAATTAGTAACTACAAAGTGAGAATGTATAACCTAGCATAACAAACAAACTCAAAAGCGAGTGAAACCAGATGCATCAAGACCAGAAACCAAAAGCTCTTTATTCACTGGAAAACCAATGGACAACTAAAAATGATCCTCTCCCAAGTTTTTTAAGAGTGAAGTTTCCCTCTTCACTATTATTCCAACCACATCTCTTAATGAAAACAAGAGTGTATATGAACAAGAAACTGAGAATATTCGAAACTTAGATTCTTACTTTTGATTTTCTTCTTCTTCTGATTCTTCATGCTGGTCAAATAACTCCCATTTAGAAGTTGTTACAGCTGAATGGAAGGAAAAAGAGGATGTAATTCCATAAGGTAAATTAACATTTTTGCAGTAGCACAGTAGAAGGCAAGCTTTAGAACTGAAAAGTTTGTATTACAGAAGTTTTTATCTACGTTTATCTATTCTTTGAATAGCCATTTATATGTGCTAAATCTCTTTCCCTCACACCTACACTGTAATTTTATTCAAATTCATGAAGTAACAAATAATGTTGTCATCCTTATTTCTGTGTTGGATGGTAAGATTTATTTCATTAGAATCTACAAATATTAACACTTACATGTTATAAGCACTAGGATACAGGTGGAAGTTAAGTTTGAAAGGCAGGGCTAAACTGCATCTAATAAGTCTAGCATTATAGGAGGGTCAAAGCTTGGTTTCTCTGAAACTGACCTCTAAGTAGATATCTAAACTGGTACTGGGTCCTTTCTACATTTTCTACTAAAATGCCTCAACCTGAAAGGTTTTCAGTGATTTCTCTGATTACTCTCAAAGCTTCCAAATTGAAGGACCTAAGAAAATTATAATAGCAACACAAACCACAATGAAAACTTACACTAGACATAAAATATAACATTGGGTATTATGGTTGAAATGTTATAAAACATAAAAGGAAAACATACACACAAACACACCAATGATTAATTTATAAGCACTTCATTTTTTGAGGCTCAATATTTATTGAACTTTTACTCACCTTGTGCTTCCAATTCAGATTCATCTACAGCTTCCCATTTTGACGGGGCAACTTTAAATATAGGCTCATTCTTCTTTGAGTCTTCAGTTGCATCCACTGTTGGGGAAAGACGAGCCATTAACTCTAACTACTAAGAGATAACCCAAATTAATGGGCTCATGGGTAGGCACTGTATTATTAAAAAGCAAAGCAAAATAAGGCTACACACTGACAAATAATGATAGTATTAAGAACAAGGATTATAGCTAATCCAATTCTCTATATCTTAGGTCTGATTTTTAAACAGTATATATATCAACTCAGAAAAGGCAGGTTAGTAATATTCTAAGCAAATGAAGACGTTGAGAAGTAAAACACATCTTTAACACCTTTACCTAATTATTGTCTAAACCACAAAATTCACACACTATTCAATATTTTAACATATAACTCAAATGTACTGAAGAGCTGTGTATACTTCCTATTTTCAAAATTATTTTAGGCAGCCAGGAAAACTGAACCTGTTCAATTAGTTAAACTAACAGTAAAAGCAGAAATGATAAGACCAGGTACCTAGTATTATGAATATACTTGAGCATAAGATTTTTGCTTATAATTTCCTAACAAGACAAAAAGAGAAATTTGGTAGTATTATAGCAGGCTGACTGTCCCCACAAAGAAATGTGACCAGAAAAAAAATATCTTTTTCTTGGATCAGTCAAACGTATTATTGGGTTTAAATTTTTAAAAGTCGGAAATAAAACAAAACAGTTAACAAGTTTCTTATTAACTTGACACCTAAATGAGAAACTATAACCTTTTTCTATGCATGGAAATTTAAGCATTTTGGTAATAAAACTTATTAGAAAGATTTAAACAGTTTGAAATTTGAAATATGAACTTACAAGGCACTCCATCAAGATCATCATCAAGACTTTTTATAGGGACTCCATCAAGATCATCGATGGGAGTAGCATCAATAGGAATTCCATCCACATCTTCTAGAGGTGCACCATCAAGCTCTTCCTCAATAGGGGCACCATCAAGGTCATCCGGCACATCCTATGGAAATGTGTATACTGTAAAATTTTCTTTTCCTTGCTAAAGGCATATTGCTATTAATTTGCAATGCAGTACAAGCCAAATTAGATGGATACCCACATTCTCAGGTACAATGTAAGGACATCATAACAGGGAAACCAGGAAATCAGATAATCACAACAATATACATATAACTGCTACAATAAAGAGATATATCATACTGTTAGAATGTGTAATAAGTAACTTTTACTTAAAGAGGTCAGAGAGGAAACTCTGAAGTTTCCCCTATGTTGAGATCTCAAGGATCTCAGGTAAAAGGAAGCTCCAGAAAGAGGGAAAAACATGTATAAAGGCCAACATGAGGTAAAACACTATACATTTAAGAAACTGAAACAAGGACCATGTCAGTTGGAGCACTAAGGCCAATTAGAAGGCTACTGCAGCAGTGTAGTGAAAACATGACAGCTTGATTAGGATGGCAGAAACGAAGATGAACGATTCAATAATTACCTAAGAGGTAAAAAGTAACAGAATGGTGATGAATAGTACCTGCTACCATAGTGCTGCATCTTTTCATGGACATATTTACTTGTACAGCTATCTTTAACAAAATGAAGTCATGCTACATATACTACTCTATTACTTGCTCGTTTCTGCTAATATATCGTAAGTCTTCTTATCAAATAAAAACCACCCACCAATTTTTACATAAGGACACAAGACAGAGAACTCCTATTATATCTAATTTGGACTCCTGGGGTCCAACAATTCCAGCAACAAAAATTCACCAGTTAGTGGTAAACAGTGGATATTTTCCACAAAGAAACGTTACTCACTTATGTAGCATATCACACCTCCACAGCTCTCTCCACCTCAGAAACAAATTTCAGAAACAATGAGACAAATAACACTGAGTGCCTACCTCTGTTTCTTTTTCTTCAATAATATTTACAAGTCCTAAGAAAATATTTTGTAGTTTGATCAAAAATGGTTCTGGATAAATTGCCCAATCTTCCCATGCTCTGAAGCAGGTCATTACCCGTTGCTAAATAAGTAGGAAACAGACAATGAATTATTATTTAGGGCCGTATATCTCCAACTTCAACACACAAGAATGACCATCAAGATTTGCTGAATTTTCTGTTGAAGTGACATTCTTTAAAAACTTAAAATAACTATATATCATTACTATGTATTTTTTTAAAAAATCAATGTCATCTTCTAACTAAAAAGAAAAAAATGATAACCCTAAAAATAAATAGTGAAAAATTATTTTTTTCTTTATCATCTAAGGTCAACTCCCATATTGTTAGTACTACAGTTGAGCCACATTCTGGGAAACCTCGAATATAAACTAATGAAAACTGAAAATCAAAGTAGCCAAGTTTTTAACTGAATCCCTTATGGTCCAATGAAGTGCTTCACAATTTTGGCTAACATTTTCTCTGTCCCATCCCTAAATTTTTCTACAAGTTCTAACTTGCGGTCAAAAACTTTAGAAATGGAGTTGTCTGAATCCCCCAAATGGTGGGGTCACTGGAGATTTTCCCAAGCTAGAAAGTTTTCTTATGTTCTCACTTACAAGTGGGAGCTAAGCTATGGCTATCCTTGGTCAAAGAGGCATAATGGACATTGGAGACTCAAAAGAAAGGGTGGGAGGTGAGGGATAAAAAATTACCTATTGGGTACAATGTACACTATTTGAGTGATGGGCACACTAAATGCTCAGACTCCACCACTATACAATATATACATGTAATGAAACTCAATCTGTACCCCCTAAATCTATTAATTTTTTTTTCAATTTCTTTCTTAATGAAATCTTCTTCCCATAAAAGTAAATTTACTCATTCAATTCTAAGGTATTCTGTTTGGCTTTTTTTTTTTTTTTTTTTGGTAAGAGGGTATTACTCTGAAGCCTGGAACTCCTAGGATCAAGAAACTCTTGGGTTCATGCAATCCTCCCACCTCAGCCTCCCAAGTAACCAGGACTACAGGAGCATGCCACCATGCCCAGCTAACTTTTTGTAGAGAAACGGACTTGCTACCTTGCCCAGGCTAGTCGCCAACTCCTGGCCTCAAGCCATCCTCCCGCCTTGGCCTCCCAAAGTGCTAGAATTACAGAGCGAGCCACCATACTTGGACTAAAATATTTAAATAATTAACACTTAAAAAACACTAGTTAATATATTTTAAAAGTCCATTTTTTGATAATGAAAATAAAAATGACAGCAGAATTTTAAAACAGTAATTTCTATAACATCCAAGTTTTAAATTTATATCTTATATACTTTTCTAGCCCTCTAACACCCTTCTGCCTATTTAAAACACTAGGGCAAAAACAGTAAAACAATATATGTACCTTAAAGTTTTCAGATTGTAAATGGCCTTGAATTGTACGATAGGTAGCATTGAGGTCCGAAGATATCTGACATAACTTTGTTTCAAAACTGAAATTCAAACAATATATTCTTTAAAACAGAACTTGTTTTAAAATCCCTATCCTTAGTATGCCAGGCAATGAAACTCCTTCCCTCTTGGATTTAAAATACTTATAAATAAATTAATCAATTAAATTATTTAAAAAGCAAGAACTAGATGTTTAAACTCTAAAACCATAACTGAATTGCTTTAACTCTTCTTCTTAATTTTTCTCCTGCAAATTCCCTAAGCGTCTTAAGTATTAGTTCCCTTTTTAGGCAAGGAACTTTACATCTAGGATACTCTGAACCATCTAGTCAAATTTATTTTATAAAACAGGAAACTTAGAAAAGTTAAGTGACTTGTCCAAGGCAAAAAACTAATAGCAGATCCCACATCTCTAAATTTCCTTTCAATATCAGTTCCTAGGGAAAAGCTTCCCTGAGACTAATTTATAAAATAAACACAGAAAGGGAACTCTAAGAACTGAGGAAGAATTATATATTAATTACAATCTGGCAACATAATTTCCTACCACCTTAGAAAACATTAACAATGAACCACAATCAACACAATGATGATCAGAGGAGAATACAGATTCTATAAACTGTTAATGTTGGACCTTTGGTCTCTTGTATTATGTTTGCCATTATATATATTGTTTCAATTTATTTATTTATTACACAAGTAGCTAAATAAGCAATAAAGTTATTTTTAACTCTGGCTATTTGTTCTAATGTCAATAATTAAGAAACTGATATGAAATGAATGAAAACTTTCTAAAACATTCATAATTTAGCTTAGAGTGGGTTTCTGAATGCAAGCCAATTCTTTAAAAAATCTACAAATCATGAAGCAATTCAAATTTCCAAATATTCTTTGCTCAATACCCATGGGGGATTGGTTCCAGGACCTCCCACAAATACCAAAATCTGCAGATGCTCAAGTCCCTGATATAAAAGGGCATAGTATTTGCAAACAATTTATGCACATTCTCCCATATACTTTAAATCACCTCTAGATACTTATAATATCTAATACAATGCAAATGCTACATAATTATACTGTATTGTTTAGAAAATGACAAGGGAAGTCCGTACATGTTGGGTACAGACACAATTTTTTTCAAATATTTTCACTCTGTGGTTGGTTGAATCCACAAATACAGAAGCCACAGATACAAATAACTGACTTTATTATTTTATTATTGGAGGGTGTTAACAAAACAATCCACTTCTCTGAACTCCTTATGCTTAAATATTTTATTTCAGGAATATCACCTTACATCATTATACTTACAATTTTCTATAATATGAAGCATTGGCAACTTTGGCTGAAGAGTTGTATAAAACATCAGAAACCAAATATAATCTGGCAATCTGTAATATCAAAAGATAAAACAAAATGGATTAAAAATAAAAACTAGTAGCCAATAATATCTAAAAAACATTCTGCACTGTCATTTCTTATAATCAGTAGTATAAGGCTAATGCTTAGCTATAATTTAATAATTATACTAATAATCAGAAGAGTTATGTGAAATTCAGCATGATCACAAGCATGACTTTGGCAGAGAGAAAATTTGTTAAAACTCATTTACATTTCAACTTGTATGTCAATGAACATAAGTTTTCCAGGCAAAAGTAACAGACTACCATGGGAAAGATTTTGCCAAACAAGCTCTTTACTGCAAAAAAGAAACCAAAGCCAATCCAAAAAGAAGTCAACTATTATCACCCTATTTTCTCAATTAAATGCTCACAAAGAGAAGTCATTTTTCATACCTTTTTAGGAAGGGGTGTCTTCAAGATGGACAGTGACTCAGTAATGCAGTCCACTATTTCTTCAGCAGCTTCAGCATTATTAAGACAGAAAACCATTGCATCCCCAATGTCATTTTTCCTTGGAGTTAATCCCCGCAAGATTTCTTCTAATTTATCCCTCTGTCTGAATATAAAAATTTTAAACTTATATTTACAGATATAAATTTGAAATGCCATTGTAGCTTCTGCTCACAAATTTCTCTAAAACCTACTCAGATAAAATAATTCTGAAGACTGACATGTATTAAGTCTGATATGTGTTAAATTCCCTGTATTTGTTATAACTTTTTAAACAATTTATATAAGAATACTTTTCCTGAAACAAATAATTTCAATGACTTTTTTCAGCTTACAAATTAAGTAAATTTTAAATTATGGGCATTTTTTCAGGAGTCATTAAGGAGTGTCCCAGTCCTATTATCCTATTATACTGAATACGTTCTTTACTCCCCTTCTTAGAAAGAAGTCTACTAATTTAGCACTTCTATATGGGATTAGGACAGGCTAACTTTCCCTGTAAAGGATAAGACTAAATATTTAGGATTTGCAGGCCACAAATCCTAATCTCTGTCAGTTCCTCTGCTGCTATAGCACCAAAGCAGCCACAGACAACATGAAAGAACTAGACTAGTTGTGCTCCAATAAAACTGTACCGAAGGAAAAGGCAGCCAGTTAGCCTGTGGGCTAAGTTTCTGGGTCCCTGGGCAAAGATAACAATGAACATACATCTTCAAAAGCAAATACACTCAGATACTATCATGTTACATTAGCAAATTTTTTCCTAAACAATATATCAACAAGTATTACAATTTAAAGACTACCCAGTGAAGTAACATACCCACAGTGAAGTAACACGCATATCTTGGAGAGACTGTAAGTTTGCTTCCAGACCATCGCAATAAAGCAAATATTGTAATAAAGTGAGCCATACAAATTTTTTGGTTTCCCAGTGCATATAAAAGTCGTATTTATACTATACTGTAATCTATGAAGTGTGTAAGAGCAGTATATCTCCAAAAACAATGTATAAATCTTATTTTTAAAATACTTTATTGTTAAAAAAAAAGCTAACAATCATTTGAGCCTTCAGCAAGTCTTAATCTTTTTTTGCTGGTGGAGGGTCTTGCCTCAGATGTTGATGGCTGCTGACTGATCAGGGTGGTAGTCAATTGTCAATACATTGTCAATGAGCAGTAGTAATTGAAAGCACGTTTTTTCTGAGCAGCAGGTCTTAACAAGTAGGCTTAAAATAGTCTGTAAATAGTCAAGCGTGGTGCCTCAGGCCTGGGTAATCCTAGCACTCTAGGAGGCTGAGGTGGGAGGACTGCTTGAACTCAGAAGTTTGAGACCAGCTTGAACAAAAGTGAGAACCCATCTCTACTAAAAATAGAAAAATTAGCCAGACATCATGGTGTACACCTGTAGTCCCAGCTACTCCGGACGCTAAGGCAAGAGGACTGCTTTAGCCCAGGAGTTTGAGGATGCAGTGAGCTATGATGACACCAATGCACTCTACCAAAGGCAACAGAGCAAGACTCTGTCTCAAAAAAATGCAATAAACCATATTGTAAACACATGTGCTGTCATGCAGGCTTTGTTGTTCTATTTACAGAGAGCACAGGTGGTCAATTTAGAATAATCCTTAAAGGCCCTAGGACATTTAGAATTAACCCCTATCGAGAGTCAGCCTGTCCTCTGAAGCCAGGCATCGACTTAACCTCTCTACCTCTAAAAGTCCCAGATGCCAACTTCTTCCAATATAAGGCTGTTTCATCCACATTGAAAACCTGTTGTTCAGTGTAGTCACCTTCCATCAATGACCTTAGCAAGATTTTCTGATTAACGTGCTACAGCTTCTACATCAGCACTTGACACTTTATCTTGAACTTTTTATGTTATAGAGAAGACTTCTTTCCTCAAACCTCATGAATGAACCTTTGCTGCTTCAAACTTCTGCAGCTTCCTCACCCACCTCTTAGCTTCAGAAAATCAAACAGAGTTAGGGCCTTGCTCTAGAATGTTATGGCTGGTTTGATCTTCTAATTACAATAGTAATATCAAAGATCGCTGATCACAGATCACCATAAAAGATATATAATAATGAAAAGATCTGAAGTATTGTGAGAATTATCAAAACGTGAGACAGTGAGCACATGTTGCTGGAAAAATGGCACCAAGCAACTTAATCAAGATACGGTTGCCACAACCTTCAATTTGTAAAAAACAAAATGTCAGTGAAATGCAATAAACACAATAAAATGTAGAATTTTAAAAATTCATTCTAAAAATTCAGCCAATTTTTTCCCATGAGGTATATAGAATGTTTTCTAAACACTTAGTAAGTAAGTTTCTGCTTCTTAAACCATGCCAACTGCACTGTATCAGTGCTAAGTGAGCACTAATACCATCATATGCTTCCGTGGTAGCCATTTCCGTGAGTTGCAGCTCACTGCAACTCTCTGCAGAGGCTTTTCATAGTCAACATTTTATCCCACTAGCCATCCAGTAATTTTTCCTTTATGCTGCATTCAAAGAATACTAATGGTCCCCAAATAATTTCTATAAGAATCTGAAGTATTCTAACATTAGAGAAAGAAGTCAACCATATTTAAGAAGATCATCACTAATTTTATCAGTAAGAAGAGGTCAAGGTCAATAGGACACACACTGTTATTTGCCAAGATGTTTACAATTGTAAAGCATCTGATGAAAGATGTTATTATTTTAAACACTCACAAGTAAAAAAAAAAAACCACTTTATTTTAGGGTTAACATCTTAGTAAGACCATTAATTAAAGCAACCATTCAGGCAACTTTTCTGAATATATAAATAATAGAAAGGAAAAATATCTTACTCTTCCTTAAGCGCTCCCTTTTTACTAGGCTCCTCTACAAAAGCTTCGGTTTCTTGTTCTTCTGACATCCCATGCAGGTATGGATTTAATGGTGGTGGCCTCCAAAAAGATCCATTTTTGAACATACGAAAATCTTCTGTCCGCCACTTAGTTGGAGAATCTCCCTAATAATAAACAACCAGAAAGTTATTAGAAAGGTCTAATAACTCAGAGTCAAAATTAACAAAGTAAGGCGGGGCGTGGTGGCTCACGCCTGTAATCCTAGCACTCTGGGAGGCCGAGGCGGGCGGATTACTCAAGGTCAGGAGTTCAAAACCAGCCTGAGCAAGAGCGAGACCCTGTCTCTACTATAAATAGAAAGAAATTAATTGGCCAACTAAAATATATATAGAAAAAATTAGCCAGGCATGGTGGCGCATGCCTGTAGTCCCAGCTACTCGGGAGGCTGAGACAGAAGGATCACTTGAGCCCAGGAATCTGAGGTTGCTGTGAGGTAGGCTGACACCACGGCACTCACTCTAGCCTGGGCAACAAAGCGAGACTCTGTCTCAAAAAAAAAAAAAAACAAAATTAACAAAGTAATTGATTCTACTTGCCTGCAGAATAGAATAAAGCTTCCACCTATAGTAAACATGGGCTGGTGTCTGGTTTTCAAATAGGAACCTAAACAAACAAATAAAAAACATTAAATATCATATTGTTTAGTAAAGAGTTATCTTCATTTAAACATAAATAAATGAAAACTATTATCTGCCTATTTAGTTCTAAATAAAACTGAAAGCAAAGACCCCCCCTGAAAAGAAATTCTCCCACATTGCCACCTGCTCACTACCTATCCCCTACTTTGCCCTGCCCTAGACTGCCTTAGTGACTGACATTAATACTCCAAGGGCATACATCTTGCTGAGTCTTAGGATCATTTTTATTGAACATTCATATATCAGATACTGTGGCTGGCAACAGAGAGATTTTCCCAATGTATAATTACAAAAGCAGTGATTTTCAAAGTTTTAAATTAATGTCTTAGATTCCAAAACAATTTCCTTTAAAATTCATCTTTTTTTACTCTAATTGCATTTATGAAAGAGTCATTATAGTTTTCATTGAAAAGCACTATGAAAAGTATTTTCCTCCTAGAGAATGCTAAAAAACAATGCTGTTATTTAACTAAATCAAAATCTGATGGAACACTGACCTAAGTACATTTTACTTTATCATGACTAAAACTGTCTTCTCATCCCATTGTAAAACTAATCTTTTAGAACTTTATCCCTGGAAATATTTTTAATCCCCCCCCCAAATTAAAAGTGTTTTAAAATGCACACCTGAACATAAAATAGGGTAAATACATACAATGGAATACTACTCAGCCTTTAAAAAGAGGGAAATTCTCACGTACGCTACAACATGGATGAACCTTTAGGACATTATGCTAAATGAAACAAGCCAGTCACAAAAGGACAAATATTCTATTCATATAAGGTACCCAGAATAATCAAATTCATACCAACAGAAAGTACAGTGGTAGTTGCTAAGAACTGGAGGACCAGGGCAATGGAGAGTTATTATTTAATGGGTACAGAGTTTTAGTTTTGGAAGATGAAAGAAGTTCTGAAGATGGATGGTGGTAATAGCTGCACAACAATGTAAATGTACTTAATGCTACTGAACTGTACAATCAAAAATTGTTAAAATGGCAATTTAGTTACATGTATTTTACCACAATATTTAAAAATACACACCTGAACATAGGATTGTTGATTTCTCTGTTCATAATCATAGCTTCAAACATTGGCCCTTCACGTACAACAAACTCTATCATTCGATGTATCAGGGCGAGCAAATTCCTACAACAACAACACAGTTAAAGAAAATGGATTCAGACCTACCACTATATAAAACTACACTTGACCTAAACTACTATAATTGTGCAGAAAAAGATTATTCTGCTGGCTAATACCGAATTTAATACCAAAAAAGCAACCTGGAGCATATGTCAATGCCTTGTGCATTAAGAGGGAGTGGGGCAGTGGGGGTAGGGGATTGGGAAGGGAAGGAAAGGTGGAGGGAGGGTGGGAAACCACAACACAGCCTCACAGTAATAAAGACTTAATTTTCTAAATGCCATTTAATTTTATTTTCCAAAAGCAAAACATTAAATGATAAATCACAACTAACTGGAAAGCTGTAAATATATAAAATCAGTAACTTAGAGCTTGCGTATTATTACAGCCATCTAAAAACTTACACACTATCTCAGTTTTAAAAGAAAATATTCCTAAACCAAGCACTTTTGTGGTGGTACTAAAATGTTATAACCATGACTATAATTTATAAAAATGCAAAACTATTTAACAAGTTTAAGGCTTGATTTAATAAAAAATCCATCCAACTCCTGTGCTTTTCTAATACACATATACCAGATGGAGTTTTTATTGAATCTGACCTTTAATGAGGCAACATCCCTTTGGACCACACTTCAAACTAGTTCACAATTCATGACATGGATAATTCTGCCTACATATTATGTATGAATCAATGAAGAAATTATATTGCCAAAGCCTTAAGTGAATGGAGTCCTACTCTTCCCAAAATATTCTACAATGGAGGACATGGTGAGATCCCCTTCCCATTTTCTATGACTATTTTCCAATATCTTAGCCAAAAATAAACATACGTGCATAACTTTTTAGTCCAGTCATTTCACTGGTTGGACTCACAGAAAGCTTTTTAGTCTTAAGCTGGGTCCTAAAATCATGTGATTCCTTATTAGACTCCAAACACAATTTTAGACATTGATTATAGTGTCAGGCAAAATGGTTCAGCTTATTTACAAGCTGCTCCAAAGCATTTCTCACTTCACCAGTCCCCCGGCATACAGAGTTGGCAAATAACAATTGGGAAAAGCAAAAGGATATTGGCTCTTGGTACAAGGCATACACCAAATTACACCTTTAGCATTCCCAGCTCAAATTACGTTCATATTAACTGCTAGAATATAAATAAATATATAGTTATAGAACAAAACAGACTTTTGGCTCTATAATGCCCTATTTCAGAGTACATGAACAGTAAAATAATCTACCTCATTGTGACTATAATTATTTTCTCACAGTTTTCAAACAAACCTACTTAAGTGTACACTAAAATTTCTGTATAGTGAAAAAAAATTAATTTAAGCCTAAAAGAGGTCAAAAAATTATATTACAGTTTAAATCTTTACAAAGGGGAAACTATACATTTAAAACTAATTCAACCTCAAATTTTTAAAACAAAACCAAAAACATCAAGTAATTTTTAAAAACTATTTTTCTTGCACAGAAGTATTAATTACTCTGCAAATATGCAGTGCTTGATATCCAAATAAGAATGTATTATCAGCATCTAAATAGTTAATGACATTCTTTTGAAGGGAGATAACATAAAGTTATGATTCAGTTCCAAAACTCCCCCTAGTATAAGCCAAATTAAAGCTAAGGGAAATTTTATGAATCATAATATATTAGACTAATAACTAGGTGGACAAATGCTATACATCATAAATTTGTGTGAATTAAGTCAAAAGCAACTTGACTTCACTATTTAAGATAGATGAAAAATGATTTAACAAGTTTATAGCCAAAGGATTCATTCTGATGGTGGTGAGTTAAGACTTTTCGGCAAAATGTATACTCAAAATTTTGTTTAGAAATAAGCTGAGCCACATGTAAAGCTACTACTAGATATATGCTTTTTGAATGCTACAGAAATACTACCCTGTGAATGCTTTAACAGTGGAGAAAAAAACACTATAGTTTTAAACAGGCTTGTAACTGATAAAATCTATTTTTAGAAAATTAAAACTTTAAAATAATTTTTTAAATGTTTCATGTGATTATTTAAAATCAAAATCTGACAATTAGTTGTTACTAACTTGACTTCAAGATTATTAAAGAATTGTAATCACACTCTTCTTCCTTAAGGGCAGTGTGTTTAATGTCTTATTTTAAAAAATGGTGACTTTTCTATCAGAACAAAGCAGTGTAGTACAAAAAGATGATATACTTAAAGTGCATTATTTTATTTTAAAATGGTAATTATCTTATTCTGGGCAACAACAACAAAAAAAAAAACAAAAAATTGTCTCTCAGTTATAATAAAACCACATTTATTGGAGTCGATCGTACCAATGTCTGGTCAAAAACTGTATACTTTCCCAATCCATCCCATGATGTTTTCCTGGTCCCCCGCTGCCGCAGACAGTTCAGCTGGTGTTGCTCACCAAGGCCAATGTCAAAGAGAATTTGGAATTCTTTTGTGTTCATTTATTATTCAACCAGTGTTGTGTTCCTGTGTTTGGGAAAAGGCTTAGCTTGACTGAGCAAGAGCACACCTAGAGCATGAATTCTTCTGTTTTAACAGTATGTTGAAAAATTAAAAAAAAAAAGGAAGAAAGAAAAATAAAAGAACTCCAAACACCTTTGTTAATCATGAAAAAAATTTCTAGTATGGACTCCAGTGTTCATGAAAGTAATAGGAATTTCTTCTTAAAATCAATTGGAAAAAAAAAATCAAGCTATGCCTTCAGTAACGAAAACTCAAACCAAGGTTATACATTAAATGCAGATAATTCAGAAAACAAGAAAAAAATAACAGATTGGGTCAAACTGTAATATTATTTAAAATTTAAGATATGTTTTAAGACAACTATTTTCCCATGACAATAGTCTAAACCAACAACTCCAAATTAAAGCTAATAAACACATTCTAACTACTCAAGCTATCAAAATTCCCTTCATTGATAACAATAAAAATGAAAACAATAATGACACAACATTGCAAAGTATACTAAAGTTAGTTAAATTTCACATATCCCCCCCAAAAAGTACTGGGAAGGAACCATTGCTCAGTCAAGATATTACCTTTTCCTCAACACCATTTTTTTTTAATTCAGAAGGGGATATTGTCTATATTTAGATCAGTAATAATAAAGAAAAACATGTACCTTTCTGTTGGGATAACCACTTTGACTATGGCTTGCGACAGAGTCTGTATATGAAGTCACATCAGATAATAAACATAGAATATGTGAGTATTGTTAACAAGTAACAAGCAAAAATATACATATGCATTGAAAATACTACACATCTAATCACAAGTTTTGCAGGCAATCACTGCATTTGAAGTAATTATACACTAAGCAATTACATAAATGCAAATGGATGTGTTCAGTGAACAATAAATGTTCACCAAATGCAAAGAATCAGAACATTCCTGCCAGAATGCACATCAATGCACTGAAATAGGTACTACACTGAGAATTATCAGATAAAGATTTTAATTTGTGAAATAATTAACTGTTTGCCTCTGACCATACAGTTTGCTACTTTGTTCCCAAGCCTTTAAAACCAGCCCTGTCATTTTAAGTGTAATTAATTCATAATAGAACCAACACATTCTTTTAACTTGAAATTAAGTTGGTCTTACGTTTATTAAAAAGAAAATACTCACCCTTTGCTTTTACTAGATTAGTTAACCATTTTTGTTTTTTTTTTTTTGGAGACAGAGTCTCGCTCTGTCACCCCAGCTAGAGTGCAGTAGCAACATCACAGCTCACTGCAATCTCAAACTCCTGGACTCAAGCGATCCTCCTGCCTCAGCCTCCCGAGTAGCTGGGACTACAGGCGCACGCCACAACGCCCGGCTAATTTTTCTGTTTTTAGTAGAGACGGGGTCTCGCTCTTGCTCGGGCTGGTATCAAACTCCTGAGCTCAAGTGATCCACCCGCCTCGGCCTCCCAGAATGCTAGGATTACAGGCGTGAGCCACCACGCCCGGCCTTGTTAACCGTTTTTTAAAAACCACACATGCTCTCAAATATTCTAATACCTCAGACCTTGAGAACTAAATTAGCTAGCTGCCATCCAAACAATTTTAACTATTTAGGAACTCTTTCTAATTGAAATGTCACTTAACCAAATACAAAGTATCACTTTCTCAGAACAAAGTAAATTTAGATACTGTACTTAAGTAAACCTGGATACAACACTGGACAAAGGAAAAAAAAACTTAACAAGTGATCAAAAAAGGAATGGTAACCACAAATAAAAATATGACCTAGTATTTCAATACAGGGTTTTCCATGGGCTAAGGCAGGGAACACATCTACTTATTTCTTTTAAGAGTTGTCAAACAGAATTACACACACATTCTCTATAAAATTGTTGAAAAGAAATACTACCACAGATTTAGTATTTACAAATTAGATGCGGCCCTATGTACATTTTTTTAATTACCTTCTCAAAATCCTCCTTGTTTTTAGGTGGCGGTAACATGGGAGCATTGGGGTTTTTTAACCGCTCTCTAGGCTGCGCATTAAAAGGCAGTCCGGATGGAGGCGGGGGAAGTGTATGTTCCATCATAGAAGGCGGAATATATATTGGATGTGGAGGAATAGGTACAGCTTTACCCCAACCTAACTTCATTTCAAAAGACATAATCATTTTTCCTACAAGAAAGAAAAGAAAGGTCACTTTGATAACTATAAAAAGAAAATATTTCTGGTGATATGAGTTAAGTTTCATTATTAACCTCTCCATTTCAGGTCTATTTCCTTCCTGGAGGTTTTATAAATACTTTGCTGAACCAAAGAAATGTCTAAATTCTACAAATGAACAAAAAAACTTCCTTACCATTTAAATTTTTTAAAGCTCTTTCAGCATCTCTTCTATTCATAAAGGCCACAAAGCCACAATTTCTCTCTCTTGCTCTTTCTTCATCAGTTCTAGGCCACATAATTTTCACACTGGCTAATGGTCCAAATCTTCCAAATTCTTGGCACAGCATTTCTTCATTCATCTGTTAAAAGCCATAGGAGTTTTTAGTATGCAAAAACAGGAAAAGAAAAAAATTCAATGCACAAGAAAATGAAGTTTTTCCAAAATGAAAAACAATATAGTAACACTAAAATAAATTTTCCATTCAAGTACCAGGAATTCTCCACAGGTAAAATCTTGCCCTCATGGGACATTCATAAATCTTTTCATACCAGAAACATTCTGTTTTACTTAAATAAGATACCAGGGTGGGGAAGCTGGAGAAATCAAAACTCACTTTTACTTCCCCTCTTCCTGTTTTAAGGTTCTGGGATATAAAGAAGCTGTTCTACAGCGATAGTATTTGGGCATTTAACAGCATTTTTCAAGTAGGAGTGTTTAGCATACTTAAGTTAAGGAGGAAATAACTGTTGATAACAAAAGAAAAAAAGGATATAATCATCTTTTCTTTTTCCAACTACCAATGTAATTAAGAGCAGACAAAATAGTAAACAGTAAATATGCAATAAGGCCCAAAACATATATGATTTTTAAAAAGGGTATATTATGTGTAACAATCACTATATCCCCCATAATTAACTGCACTCAATCAGGAAAAGAATTAAAAGACAAAAGACAAAAGCACAAATACTAGTCTGAAGAGAAAAAAAAGGACTCCATAAGGAAACAAGTTATGCATCAAAAGTGAGTAGTCTCTAAAGATTATCACTGATCATACCCTGATTTGATAAATAATAAAAACGGTTCCTAGTAAAACACTTTAAATTCAGAGTACAGTTCAGCTACTGATAGAGGAGACAAGCTCTTAAGAATCTGTAGCAAGATAATTTGAGCCATACGAGTCAGTCTCAAGTTTACAAGATAATTTTAGAGACTATCTAATTCCATCAGGTTTTCCAACTTCCGAATCTTGATGATTTTTTTATTAACTGACAAAGTAGCTTTCTTCCAAAAGCATAAAGCATACAAGCCAACATTCATTGTACTTTACCAATATTACCTGTGGATTAATGTTTCCAAGGTATAAATTAGTAGTGCTTGGATCTCCTACATCATGTGAGCCAGGTGCATAATCATCAAGAACTAGGGCAAAAAGAACAAAAAAAATTACAATCTGCAAAATATAAAGTTTGGACAATTTCTTGATCATTAAAAAAAGCAAAAAACTGTATTACCACCAGATGATCTATTTCTTCTTGAAGGCGCGTCCACTTAAAGGGAAGAAAAGAAAACAATTTTTAGTTTTGAGAATACAGCAGTCCCCCCTTTATCCGAGGCTTTGCTTTCTACAGTTTCTGTTGCCTGTGGCACAGTATAAGATATTTTGAGAGAGAGAAAGAGACTACATCCACATAGCTTTTACTACAGTGTGTTATTACAACTGTTCTATATTACTATTAATCTTACTATACCTAATTATAAATTAAACTTTATCAGATGTATGTATGTATAGGGAAAAACATAGTATATATAGGGTTCAGTACTAGCCAGTTTCAAACATCCACTGAGGGTCTTAGAACATACCCCTCAAGAATACAGTATGGGATGATTACTGTAATCAATCAGAAATAAACACATTAAAATAAATGCCACTTACTAGAACGACGCTGACCATCAGAATCTGACTGAGGAGGCTCAAATCGACTTAACCTGCCTTTTGTTTTATGTCTCTCATCACGCTCTTCTTGAATTCTGTTGAAAATATTTAGAATCACTAAAAATTAGCCAAAATTTGTTTGTTCATATTTAGTAAGGTTAGAGCTTATTGAGGTACCACCTTAGAATAACATGAAATATCTATAATTAAACACCAAAACACCAATACTGATAACCAAGATTAGAGAATCCCTCAGCTATAACAGAACCATGAGCAAATTTCTAATTATATCACACCAGTAATGGACTATAAGCCCACTTTTAAGGTGAGGAAGAAATTCAACACAAAAACCAGTGAATTTGTGGTTTCCTGCTAAATCTGACTGCCTCTCACTGTTTCCACTGCAAACAGGACTCTAGACATTAGATACATCAATTGAAGTGAATCTACATAATGCAAACAACCTAGATGCTGGGATAAATGCTAATTCAATTTCAAACATGCCCCACAAAGTATCATTATAATATCTAAAACAACCTCATGGCAAGCTGGTTAATAACAACTAAATAGTACAGTACACTCTTCATACCTGCATCTGTATGTATCAGCTCAATATCCCTATGGTAGTTATTCTCCATACTATAAAACTTACTGTTTTAATTCTTCCTTGAAGAGTTCCAAATTGCTTTTTTTCTTTTCTTTCTCCCCTTTCTTCAGTGGCTATGAAGGATATAACAAGTTATACTTCAAACAAAAGAAGGTTAAGCAAAAACTAGTTGTTTCAATAAGACCATTTTTAAATCATTATTTCAATGCCAATTATATGTTCTATTTAAACTGAAAAGAAAGAATGCTTGTTATCATTGGACTTCTAGCCCTCTTCTCCGAAAATAACAGTTAAACTGTTAAAACAAATAAACAATTAGAGGACAACTAGTAGTCTTAAAGGAGCCAGTAACTTTATCCTCCCAAAGGCAAATAATACTTAGGCCTGACTACTGAGGGGAAAATTAATGAACATAAAATAAGTGAACTGCCATGTAAAGTAACTGTCACAAAAAACTACCAAAATTATGTACTCTTCAAAGTAATCACCTTTGGAGAATATGAATTACTGAAACAATGAATAACATCTTTGGAATCTCTTTTTTAAAATTGCTTCTTAAACTCCTTTTGGAATCCCTCTTCTAAAAGTACCAACATAATTAAAAAATGTTCTGAAAACACACACTACACATGCTAATAATATAAATATCTCAGTTTGGAATTGTTTAAAGAGACAACCCCATTGTTTTACAATTATACTCAAAATACAGTGAATTTTTGACTTACAATATACTATGAGCATAACAGCAGCAAATGTTTATTGTTTAAAAAGCATAATAAGAGTATTATCTACATGTTCCACTCTAATTTAATATCACTCACCTAAGCAAATTGCTGGGTTAGAAAGTTATCAAAACTCAACATCTATCCCCTAAAAAATCAAAAATTAAAAACCAAAGTCCTGTTTACAGTGGACATACTAAAAGGATCATTGACAGTATCATCTCTGAACATAAATGGTCAATTTTTTAAGTATGACTTACAGGTTTTTTGGTTTCTATCACAAGAAGAGATGGTGGTCTTTCATTGGAAGACTGATTTGGAGGATTTTTTTGATCTGCAAATCTTGAAGATGGTTTATAGATTTTACCTCTTTTTTCATCTGTTTCATGCTCTTCTGAAATTTAAAATAGTAAGTTTTAAAACTAACTTCATATTATCCGATTGTTATCTTCACTTAAAAATAAGCAAAATTAGTAAAATGCTTTTAGTATAAAGATTAAATTCAAACATTACCACCTTATCATCAGTAACACTAACTTAATCATTCTACAGTAAAAGTATAAAATTCTTGCAAAGTACTCTGCTATCTTTAAACTTCAAAGAGACTAAATATGTTCAAAAGTTATCTGGCTTCAATATCATTAATTTATACTAATTTACTTTGCTAATTTATATAACCACTAGAGGGTGCTAATTGAAAGAAAACATGAAATTCAAAAGCAATCAAACATTCCATAACTATCTACCTGCAGTCATTCAACCAAGATGAAGTTTGCTCAAGGACTATAATATTCACACCTACCTTTAGCTGCATTAACGACACCTCCTCGCACAAAGGTTTTAACTTTATTACCATCACTTCCTTCAAAAGCAGCAAGAAATTCCTCATAAATCTCGGCAGCTGCCTTTTCATCCTCCTAAGAACACATGAAAATATTGATATCACATAATATAAAAATTACTAATGTATACAGGATTAAATTCATCTAGGAATAAAGTAGATGAAACTCCTCCCTTCCCAAGTTAAGCCATCCTAATAAATAATGACATCTAATCCTTAGCAGATATTAGACATTGATTAACACTGAAACCAAAAGAGGCTTTGCTCTTCACTAGCAATTTGCAGAACTAGAAAAGAACCCACTAAATACAGGTTAACAAGTAATTTTGTCTAGGGGCAATTCAAGAGCCAATTGTATGACAAATGATTATAAGAAGACATACTATGCTATTAATGTTTATGAAGTTTCCAAGGCATGAGGATTTAATTCAGTGAATATAAAGACTTCTTTTTAAACCACTGAAAACATGAGTATTACAGAAGTTGAAGCAGCAAAATCTACTCCTGACAGGTGGCATTAAAGAAAAAAAGGTCAGAAGAACCTTGATGTTTTCAATTATAGATACTTTAAATGTTTCCAAAACATGTATGAAAAGAAAGGCTAATAGAACACAACAGGAAAAAAAAGAAGAAAACCCAAGAGCATATGGGAATTCAGTGTTCAATAAAAGGGGCATATCAAATCAGTGACAACTAGATAAACTTTCTATAAATGATGTTGAGATAATTATTCAAAAAAGATAAAAATTAATCTATTCTCTACACCATATACCAAAATAAACTGCAAATGAACTGGATCTTCTTAAAAATGAAACCATATAAATACTAGAAGAATACATGAGAAAATTCCTCTACAAGCTGGTAGTTGGAAAAACTGAAAAACCAGAAATCATAGGGAAAGATCGATAAATATGATTACATAAACAACAGTTTTTGCTTGGGAAAAAAAAACAGAAACAAAAGATAATTGACAAACTGGGGGGAAAAACTGTATCTTGTGTAACAAAGTGTTAATATAACTCACAGAAAAAAATGGCTTAGATATGAGCAGACAGTTCATAGAAACAAACTTAAGAAAAACTATCAACTTTACTCATAAGAGAAATGCATATTTAAAACCACAAAAATACCTTTTTTCACCTAGCAGATGGGCAAAACTCCTTCGATACTATCCTTTATTAGCAGCACTATGGAGAAACAACCACTCATAGTGCAGAATACAAAATGTCCCTAGTACCTAGAGAGCAATTTGACAATATAACAAATATGGAAAAACTACCTTTTGTGCATTTGCCATTCAACCCAGTAATTTCACTTATAAGAATATATTAGGCCAGGCATGGTGGCTCACGCCTGTAATCCTAACACTCTGGGAGGCAGAGGCGGGAGGATTGCTCGAGGTCAGGAGTTCGAAACCAGCCTGAGCAAGAGTGGGACACCTTCTCTACTAAAAATAGAAAGAAATTATCTGGACAACTAAAAATATATAGAAAAAATTAGTCGGGCATGGTGGTGCATGCCTGTAGTCCCAGCTACTCGGGAGGCTGAGACAGAAGGACTGCTTGAGCCCAGGAGTTTGAGGTTGCTGTGAGCTAGGCTGATGCCAGGGTACTCTAGCCCGGGCAACAGAGTGAGAGTCTGTCTCAAAAAACAAAACAAAACAAATATATTACAGGCTGGGCATGGTGGCTCACGCCTGTAATCCTACCACTTTGGCAGACTAAGGCAAGAAGATCACTTGAACTCAGAAGTTCAAGACCAGCCTGAGCAAGATCCCATCTCTACAAAAAACAGAAAAATTAGCCAGGTGTGGTCACTCCCCTGTAGTCCCAGCTACTCAGGAGGCTGAGGCAGTAGGATCGCCTGAGCTCATGAATTTGAGTTGAGCTATGATGATGCCACTTTACTCTAGCCTGGGAAACAGAGTAAGACTGTTTCCCAAAAAAAAAAAAAAAACAAAAAAACCCCACCACACATATAAATATTTGGGAGAGATATGTATCTCCCAAAGATATACTAGCAAAAAATTCAAAAACATATCCATAAAACTATATCCATAACAACATTATTTGTAATGGCAAAAACTCCAATGACCTCAACAGGATTTTAGTTGAATAAACTATTGCATATCTATAGCTATTTAAAAAAACAAAAAAAATTTCTATATACTTAAAGTAATCTCCAAGATATGATACATTAAAAAAGCAAGGGAGAAAAAAGTGTATGGTATATAACATGCTATCATTCATCTAATGACAGCATTATTCCATGACCCATAGCATGCTATATAGAGTACAACGTAGGCACGGTATGTGTGTATACACATATGCACTCTCATACAAAAACAACAGACCAGAAAATAATCAAAATTATTAGAAAAATTGAAACAGGGTGGGGAAGACAAGGATAGAAGCTAGACATCTTGGAATATACCTTGTGTTATAGATTTAACTTGGAGGTGGATCCGAGAATATCCTAAATGCAAAGAATCTTTGGGAAACATTTCTCTACTGCCTATACACTTACTTCCCCTTAGACACATTCATTTCCAGGACAATTCAAAATACATGTTAAACATTACCTTTTTCTTTAATTCTTCCTGTTCCTTCTTACTTAAAGTTCGCTTAGCTGTACTCATTTTTCCAATACTGAATGCTTTAAGTTTGTTTTCTAGAAGAGGCTATGAAAAGAAATAAAAAGCATACTTTTACAAATACATTCTTAATGCTATCTATAGCTTTAATACACCTAAACTGATAAGTCTTCAAGAACAGATTACTATTTTTTTTAATTTCATTGTAAAGAAAAGCTGGGGCTACTCTACACATCAGGTGACTACTCTGATATGAGTATTCGTTAAACAATGTCTTTATTCGCTAGCTCATGGTCAAAAACATGCAAAAGCCATTAAAAAAAAAAGGTACAACTAGAACAGAGAGACACCATGTCTTAGAACACACACACACACACACACACACAAAGTATCTCCATGTTTCTGGGCATAAGGTACGATAACAGAAAACAGATCCTCAAACAGGGTGACGGAGGCATATATTTCCAGGGTCCAGTGGGGGGAATTTATTATCTATAACTCCCAGTGCAGGTTACTCTAACTCTCATAACTTCCTTTTATAATTTAGTACATTACCTCATTCTTCATCAATAATACTGATATTTATAAACATAATTTCATTTTCTTCACTGGGAACACATCACCTATAGTATTTTAGGCTCCAGCTCAAGTAAAACCATATCAATTGATTTTAAATATAATAGTATTTTAATGAATTCTTCATTTATGTAACTTAGAAGTAATTTCATTCTGAAATATATCCTGAATAACTTGTATGTAGACCATTAGTTGTTCATCAGTTACTCATTTGATTCATAAACGTAAATTGTAGGTTTATTACATGTAGCCTAAAATATTGAGATCCGAAGGTTTCTCTCTTTCCACTAAAATGAGAAGTTAACCAATTAAAAAAGTAGACTTTATTAATTCCCTGGTTATCAAACAGGCTTGCCCTTCAAAGATGCAGAATTAAGAGTAGCACTACTGCAAACTATTTTAAGGTTATATTAAAATCCCTTTGAGAAAAATAAAACAGTTTATAAACCAAAAGTCAATATTGGGTTTCAGAAACAGATGCAAAATAATTTTTTTTCCCTCAAAGTAGAAAGAAAAATGTTTTGCCATCATTCAGTGTCTTTAGTTTCAAATTCAAAAGTTTAAACGAGTGGTAAAATTATATAAAAATCCAATTAAAGAAAGAAAATATGTATGCTCAAATTTTATTTATATCCTAAGAGCTAAATTTAGACACCCCAGGGAGAAATGATTAAGGAAATTATGGAGCATTTACTCAATGTAATAACATAGTGAATCATCTATTAAAAAGTTTATTTATAGAATTTTTGCTGAAATGAAAAAAATAGAACTGAAAACAGTATATTTTAAAATGAGTTCCTATAAAAGGGATCTCAGCCATGTAAAAATATATTAAATATATTTTTGCTTGGAAATATTAAACAAGAAAAATAAAGAATGTTACCAGTGGCTAATAATGGCTGCTGATGACTGTGCTATATTTTCCAAATATAATCACAAGAAAAAATTATTTGACATAGAAAATGACTAAAAAAGCCATATATCATTTTGTAGATCCAGAAGTAAAGAAGCTGTCTCTCTTCTGTTCCTGTATTGCCCTGGGCACTGCACTTACCACAGTGAATAACATCTGCTCCTGTTTGCTTCCCGGGGTGATACTTTAAGCTCTCTGAGAGCAAGAACTGTTTTAATTATCTGTATATTTCCAGTATCTGGTATTTGGCCCTTGATTCAGTAAATGTTTAAAAGGGGAAAGATAAATCTGACAGTTAACAATTTTGCATCCAAAAATGCTTTGTTTTTCAAAGTAAAAACTGTTAATGAAACACAATCTGACATATGAGCTAAAAACATTTCCTCCATGAACTTGAGCTTATCATTACCCCAAATACAAAAAGGATGTTATTTTCAAATAGAATAAAATGAAACAAGTATAAAACCAAGATAGTCAATCACCAAATTCAATCAAGGACAGATAAAAATCATTACTAATACTCACTTTTGAGAGATTCTGATGGGGAGAATCACAAAGGCTTTCACGGGCACTTTCATTCCTATGTTTTCTTGGGCTCTTAGGCCGTGTCCGACTTGGCATATCACTATCTGAGGGTCCAGATGCGTCCATCTTCAGGAAAAGTTAAACAAGTGTTTATAAAAATCACATACTGAAAACTACAAATAACAAGGCCAAATACCTGAATTCATTATACACTATCAAAAAATCACATCCCTTAATATCACTTCTGATTCATCAGAAATGTCCTTAAGAGTAGGAAAGTTTTCAATAATTCTAATTTACACTTGAAAGTTTGGATTTTATATTGGTGTCAGTTGTTTTCCTTGAAGTAACAGATGTCTTTCCTTTTCAAGAGAATGTCTGCCAAATACCCAAGTCTAACTGTAGTTTGTCAGTCATTCCCAATAAAAACAGTATTTGCTTAAAAAAAAAAAAAAAAAAAGCGCAGCTAGTTTCAGTTCTAAACTCAAACAACTATACAAGTACTTATCCTGAAGACAAACATCACATTTTGGTAAGCTGAAGTACCTTACATGTACTTCTTGCTTTATCACACAGACAGAATATTAAAAAGACCTGTACAAAAGGTCAACACTTAACAATATTAATTTTATTGCTTTACCAAGAGCATTCTTAAGTGAAACTAGAATATTTTTACTGTGCTTGGGGGGGGAATACAATGACTACTAGTACATTTTGGAGATACTGCCTTGGTAAGTGCTAAACGGTGTACCCACCAACTGCTATTGCACCTCTAAATGCATTTGCATTAGTGCAAATGTCAAAACAGTGAAAAAGGCAAACAATACCTTAATATTATTAATATTACAAAATAGATTTGAACTCACAGGACTACTGAAATATTCTCAGTGACCTCCAGGGGTCTGCAGACCTCACTTTGAACACTAGTATAGTAACATATGTAAAGGAATATTTGTTGCAGTGTTATTCATAACATTATTCAAAAGCTTAAAACAAAAAGTATGTATATGCCCATGAACAGAGAAATAGCTTAGTAAATATTGTACCTTCCCACTATGGAACATTATGAGGCCTTTAGTAAGAACAGATTAGCTACGCCAGCTGACCTGTGGGAATTTCAAACAGGTGTACTGTGCAGTGAGAAAAGAGTGTATATAATGCAATCCCATAATCACTGTATAAATACACACAGAATTTTGTAAGCACAGTAAAAAATAAGGACTTTATACACTAGGTTTCTCACATGGTTTGAGAGGGCTAACTTATATAAGTAGAACACACAAAAAAATGAGGGCACCTAGCAAAAAGGGTAAAAGAAAAAAGGCACATACAATATAATTGTATTTATTGATCAAGTAAAATCATAGGTATAGGACACATACAAAGAGAAAATTTTAAAGAAAAAAGATAAAAATTGCCTTTTATACTCACATGTGCATCTGAAGATCCAGATGAATGAACATCTGATGATCTCGTCTGAAAGTATAAAAAATAAAAGTCAATATTTAAAGGATCAAAAAATGTATTCTTATATAAAACAGTATATCTCATGTTATAAAGACTTAATCTTTCCTAATTTTTAGCCATTTCTTCTCAGCTAATAAAACTAAACAAGGGCAATCTGACTTAAGACTATGATTCAAAGTAAATGTATAAATAATTTGTTTAAAATTCAAAATGCATTTTTCTAAAAATATGATATAAATGCTAATGGGATATACCTGAGGCATAGTTACCTTTTTATAGTATAGACTGGAAACCTAACCATCATTTTTAGAACAGAATTTTTGTGCAAAAGCTCTTCCTAATCATACCTATATTGTTTACTGACATAATACTGTCCAAGCAGCAACTTCTTGGTACACAGCACAGAAACCTCTCCTTTCTCCAACTACCCAAAGCCACATAAGGAAATCCACACATAAAACCTTGCTGTCTATTAAAAGCTACAAGTTTACTGCAGAAATAGTTCAAGAAAAAAACACTATTATCAAATCCCCAATAGGCCACCATTTACAACCTTTTTTAAGGAGAATGCTTCCACTTCAGCATGCCCAGGCTTACTATTGGCACAAAAACGAGTTAAGTCTTCAAATAATGGTACTTTCCAACAACATCAACTGTTATAATTTCATCTTATTTTTTCTTAATTGATCTACATTTCAGATTTCACATTATATACAATAATTTGTTTTATCGCTATACATCTAGTATTAATACACAATAATTTGTTTTTTCACTATGCAGCTAGGGACTTCTTTGTCCCTAGACAAGCTACAAGGCTATTAACTAAATAATAGTATTGGGTAGTGAGAGTTTACTTATTTTTATTTATATTTAAGGGTAAAAGTGAAATCAAGACTTTTGAGATCACAAATATCTCACCTGACCCTAGCTCCCAGTTCCAGATTTCAAATAAATACAATATATTAAGAGAAAAATTAAGATCTGTATGTCATAGCAAACAGCAAATACAGGTAGATTAACATGGATCCATACAGTACTGCTTTATTTACCTTTTCCAAACATAAGGCTAAGAACAGTTGATCAGATTTTTACACTGAATCAATTAACTCCTCTGAACTCCATTATACTGAGTGACCTCTAGCCTAGGCAAGAATTAATAAGACAACTAAGCACTGCAATAGTTCCCATCTCATTCTTTTTTCTGTCTCCAATTTTCATTGTGTGTCCCCTCATTCATTTTCTTCTCCTAGCTAATCTTTTTTAAAGGTCAAGATGGTATGGAGGAAGATTTTTTTTTATATTTAAACTTAACTTTGTGAAACGCACTTTGAAACACACCTTGAAATGCATCCATTTATAGGTATCTAGAAATTAGGAAATCCAAGAGAATAAACAACCACTCTTACAGAAGAAAAGTTTGGTCAAGTAACTGAGTGGACTAAAAAAAAAAAAAATCAACTGCCTTCCAATATACCAGTATTAACTTGCTAAGTAACAGAAATTATATCCTAATGATAACAGCAACAAAAAAGTATAAAACACCTAGAAACTAATTTAAGGAATGTAAATCACCTTTGTGAATAAAACACAAACTTTAGGGAAAATTCAGTTATTCAAGTCACATTTTGAAAAGATTCATCATATTAATAGATGGAAAAACAATATTAAGATGATGTCAGTGATACCCAAATTTGTTTAATATTTAATACAATTCCATTCAACAACTCAAAATACGAAAAGGAAATCTTTGCTAGGTGGCAAGGGAATTGCTAAAATAATTCTGAAGTTCACCAAGAATAGGCATACAAGAGTAGCTAAGAAAGTGTTAGCCTTTCTTTAACCTTCTATGCCACTACATCCAAATCACCACTTCTAGGATTTAAAAAGAAAAGAAAGCTACAAGAATCTAGATACTCTGCCTATGTCCACAGTTATCTTTCCTGACTCTAAGTCATTTAAAGATGAAGCTCTGTAATCTAATACTCAACAATCTTACTTGCATAATTATTCACCAAAATGGTAAATAATCTCTAAAACAAAAGTAATCAGTTCAAAAGTAGCACTTTGTCAGCTTTCCAAATAACACAATATGAATTTGCCAACAGCAATAACAGCAGGTCTTAGGAAGGTGTATCAGCTGATTTCAACTATCCAAAGATGTCCCTAACACTTAAGTGCAAACCAGACATTTTCACTGATACACAGCATTCAGAATGGAGTATTTTTTTAGGCTTAACAACAACTGGAGAGATGCAAATAGTAGCTAATAAGATTTTTAAAAGACTAACCAACTTCTAAAGCTAGTGGTCAAGGAAAACAGTAAAGATAACACTACTTCTGTGGTCCCCAACCCCTAGGCTGCAGAGCTCCACTGGTCCCCACTCCATCCCCCATCTGTGGAAAAACTGTCTTCCATAAAACTTAGGAAACGGCCACGCAGAGCAGGAGGTAAGTGGTGGGTGAACTAGCAAAGCTTCATCTGTATTTACAGGTGCTCCCCATTCCTCAAATCCAACATAACTAAAATTTCTCCCAAACTAGCTTCTCCTCTTGCCCTTTTTATTTCTGACACTGGATCATAATTCTCAATCACTCATAATCTGGAAGTAGTAAAATGTTAAGTGCACAAGTTCTGGAATTAGACTTCCTGGTTTTAGCACTCACCAACTTTGTAATCTTGAGCCTAGTTTCTTCAGTTGTAAAGCTGAATAGCACCTGCCTCACAGGGCTCTTGTGAAAGACAAGTACAGGTGAAGCACTTAGAACAGTGTTTGGTACTGACCAACTGCTCATTGAGTGCTAGCCAGCAGCAGCATTATAACAGAGTTGTCTTGGACTCCTTCCTTATCCCCCATAATCAACCAAGTCAAATCCAGTTCATCTCACCTCTAACAGATCTTGCATGGGGACCCTTTTTTCCTTTCCAAAGACATCATTGTGGTTCAGATATTCCCTTTATTCAACCCTTTCTTTACTGGGCAGATCTTATTAGGCGAGTGCTGTGCCTTGTATTAAAGATACAAGGTAAAATAAGACATAGCTCCTGCCTATAGGAGCTAATAAAGAGACAAGTAAAACAACGTGAATATGTCACAAGAGCACGAAAGGCAGATAAATCTTAAACAGGCAGGTGGTGGATGTGGGTTGTTAGGGAAAGCTTCCCAGGAGAGGATGTGAGGTAGTTTTTGAAGTAATCCTCAAGATTTAACAGCACCACTGCAATAACCTCTGGGCCTCCTCACCCTCAAATTCTCCCTTAAACTATGCCCCTGGAATAGATTTCCTAAATAACTTTTTTGCCTCAAATTTTCTATGGCTCTCTAATTTTATTCCCTAGCCTTCAAGGCCCTCCACAATTTAGTCTGAATTTACCCTTCTAGTCTCAGGTCCTTTTATTTCCCATGCAAATGCCCTATGCATTGGCTAAATGAGCTATTTATCAATTCATTTCCCAGAAATTTACTTTCTTCACCTCACCTACCCATCTATTTTTATACCCCTATCTCTACCTTTCAAAACTCTAATTGTTCAAAGGTCTCAATCAAACTCTACTATGCTCTTGAGACCTCCCACTCTCCATCCTCTATTCAAACAGTTGTTACTTCTTTCTCTGAACTTTTACTTCTAACAGCTCTGCCTTGTACTATTATATGTGTTTACTCTCTTCTTCTAAATAGCACGTTCCCCAAACATGGGTAAAGTCTTATTTAACATGTTCTATCTCAGTATCAAGCACAAGATCTGGCAAATGACAAAGCTTCATTTATACTTGTTCTCTGAACTTGTCGTAACAAGTACCTACCAAACAAAATTATGGTTCACACTGTCAACATACTATGCTCTCCACTCATAACAAGTAGCAGCTACCTGGCTTAATACCACTATTCAAACCAAACAAAGGTCTCCACCTCTCAAAAATAAAACTTTGTAAGATTAAGACGGTACTATGTATAGTAAGTTAAATAAAAAACCTAAATTTTAAATTAATCCACAACAATACCAACACTATAAGAAAAGTTGTAAGTACACTATGAATATCCTGTGGTTTATCTAATGTGAGAAAGGGCCTAGTGAAACATTTAACTCCTCAGGAATAGACATATCTAGCCTCAAGTGCTACTGCCAAATATATCTTGCTTTCTGCAAAATATGGCTGGTGTGGAATAAAATGTTAAAACTACTGAGAATAAGAGGCAAGTGATTTGTAATATTATTGTTTTTCATTTAAATATCTTGTAGCAGGTTTTTGTTTTTATATCAAAAATGATGCTCTTTGTAAAAAAGGGTAGAGGGATAGGTGTCCTTAACTTCTTAAACACCAGATGAGCCCTTCTCTCATTTGCCAATAAGGCAAATGGATATCTTTCTTAGATTTGCTTTCCAGGGAAAACAAAGCTTCAGAATTAGAAACCAAAAGAAAACAAAAATTAGACTTACAGAAAACAATGTATTCAATCCAGTAAGATAGGAATTTTTTTAACCACATCAAGAGTCATTTTCTAGCACCAATGCTGCATATTAAAGTTTCTAAGAAGTATCAATCAAGAAAATGGAAATTCATAGTTCTATCTTCCACCCAAAAAACTAACCACCTTATATTTTAAGATAAATTTTCAACCAGATTATAATAAAGATTCAGTTTAAAACTGGCCACCAAAAAGAGTCTGAGTTTCAAGGTGTGTGTTTTGTTTGTAGTTTATCATATTTCAATCTTTAGGTACCACAAAAAATGAAATCTGTCTGCAATAAACATCTAAGCATCACAAGCCTTGAACAGATTTTCATTTTACTTATTTCTTAAAAGTGATACTTTGTTATTCAGCAAAGACAGTCAATCAAAATAGTTCCCAAAGCAATTCAGCACTGGATGTCTAAGGAAGCCAGTAGCAGTTTCCATTTTATCCATTCACCTCTCTAACTCAATTTTTGACAATATTGCTTTTTGCCATTTTTGTATAGGCATGGTTATCGAGTGAAATAAAAGGCATACAATTCTACTATATTAGCAACATTGCAGCACAGGAGACACAGAAGAAAATACTATCTTCTCCTCAACCTCATTTTGCTGAGCAAACAATTCTTAAAGTCAAAATAATAAATTTTTATAAATTCTAATGAAAAATGTTTAACAACTTTATAAGCAAACAATTATAGGCTGTCTCTCCTCTCAAAATCAAAGCTACATGGCATCAACACCCCTCCCTGACCAAGCAATATTTTAGTCTAATGATAAACAGGAATAAATACATAGGAAAATTTTAGCTCATCTCTAACTTTACTGAATGTCTACATTTGCTAGGCTTTACCATACAAAGTACAGCAAAATTACACTGAAAATAAAAGGGCATGGGGTTTTCCTTACTAGGAACAACTAAGACTATACATACATAAAATGTAATTTTAAAGCTAGAAGGAACTGCAGAGGTTATCTAATTTAATCTATTTTATAATTAAGAGATGTGTTAATGATTTTGTCATATCGTATCTTTTAAAATTAGCATTTTCCTCCATGTCTAGAAATATGATTAATAAACATCCCTATCTATATAAATGGGAATTTAACTACTAAAGAAGAATCATAAAACAGGAGTATCTGTTTTATGATTTTTATCTGTACTGTAGAATATAAACCACTTATCTGTTCTCTCCAGAGGAAGGGAAATCAAACCAGAGAGATCAATGGCTAGAAAGCCCAAGTGCTGCAGTATTAGCCAAAATGATCTTACACTTTCTCTAATAAATTCTGGACTCATGTTAGAAATAAAAAACAGCAATCTGGGCAGTCATTAATTACTATAGCTGATAACTTAGAGTCTAAATCTCACGATTAAAATTTCTTCTGACATTTTGAAAACTAACTACTTTTCTACTTTTTATTTTTATTTTTTTTTTTTTGAGACAGAGTCTCACTGTTGCCCTGGCATCAGCCTAGCTCACAGCAACCTCAAACTCCTGGGCTCAAGTGATCCTTCTGCCTCAGCCTCCTGGCTGGGACTACAGGCATGTGCCACCATGCCCAGCTAATTTTTCTATGTATTTTTAGTTGGCCAATTAATTTCTTTCTATTTTTAGTAGAAACAGGGTCTCGCTCTTGCTCAGGTTAGTTTCGAACTCCTGACCTTGAGCATTCCTCCCGCCTTGGCCTCCCTGAGAGCTAGGATTACAGGCGTGAGCCACTGCATCTGGCCTTTTATTTCTTCTTATAACAAAAAAGGAGAGAGGGAAAAGAACCAAGATTATGTACTTTATTGACATTAACTCGTTTAATCTTTACGTTAATCCTGTAAAAAGGAATTATATGCTTATTAAAAATGAGAAAACTGAGGCTTGAGAGTTTAAGCAATTTGCCTTAATATTATCAAAAATATAATTACCAAGTCAAGGATTTGAACCCAAACCTCTCGTTATTGAAATCCATAATCTTTCCATTATATTATGCAGTCTCCATATTAATGGAGAAATCACTTCAACATTACTTTAGTTAAGATATTTTGATTCCTTTTACACACATCAGTAATAAATCTGTTAATAGCATCAACAGATAATAATCTAAAGCAATATAAATGGAAAAGATTACTGGAAAATCCAATAATTTACTTACAGGGCACAGTCACAGATTCACAATCTGAGTATTATTTTAGAAGGAAGCCTGAACATATACATTGAACTGTTTTCAATGTACCCAAAGCCTCAAATAGAGGATAATTTAAATACCCTAATACTTTGAAGTTTATGCATACATTATTTAGAACAGCCAGCTTTAGTAATAACTCCCTAACAGTAAGTGGGGCTGTTCTTGTCATGAATCTGTTAATAAGAGTGAGCAGAATGAGGTATCCTCCTAGTCCCCTCTCTCCAAAGGAAGGGTAAGTGGGGAAATGAACCGGGGTGGGGAAAAAAATGACATGGAGTAAAGGTATAATGTAAAACATTCAAAACTGGCCCTCTACCACAGTTTCCATGTAACTAAACGATGTCTAGTAAGGCCATTACTAATAACAAACTATTTAGTGAACATCATTCACCAGAAACCCATAAACATTCAGATTATTAGAAAGCAAGTATAAAATGTATTATTATGTTTGTCAGAACAAACTGGAAACGCAAAGCTCTCTACTTGGACTGTAGTAAACTTAACTTCCTAATAACTGATTTATAATCATACATACTCTTTAAGATGTAAAAGTCCCAGAACCTGTAAGTGTTATATATCTTCCTGCATCAGCATCAAAAAGCTTAACAAATACCTCTTGGTAGTGCCTACTACTTTTAATATCGTTTTCGAAATGAGAAACTCAAAGCCTTAAATGATTAAATAACTCGCCCAAGATGGCAACTAAGACCCGATGATAAGACAACCTTACTAACGTTAAACTACTTCTACAACTCACTGGTTTCACAATACGTGCATACGGTTCCCTGTAAATGCAGATGATATTTACTAATCTTAGGTAGCTTCCAAGTCTACGGAAGTTCTCTTTTCAGTGGAACACTCAACATGGAGTCCTGGACTCTCAGAGAACTGCTTCATTTTTTACTTCCCCTACATTGAGGTAAAGACCACGTGTAAAGTGTGTAGCATTAACCTTGGCTACGCAGCACTGCAAAGGAGACCTGCTCCCGCCTCTGCACTGCCCACCCGCATCCTTCCACTAGTAGGCCTTCCCTCACAGCTAGCGACCCCAGAGATTATTTAGTCCCAAGAGGGAATGAAAGAAATTGAGAGGGCGGAAATGAGTGAGATAGGAAACCAAAGAACTGAGAAAAAAGCAGCACTTAAGCGCTAGGAAGTGATTCCCGCCTCTCCCAGGCACTCTGTCCAGAGGCCTAAGAGCGCAGCAAATTGAGAAACAGGGGCGCGTTTTCCCGGCTTCAGGCCTCATTCTGAATTCCTGATCACTCCAATGTCAAGCGCGGGAAGAAATACTCAGGCCACCACCTCTGGACACGCCAGTCTCGAGCCGAATCCAGGCTGGGACTAAGGGAAGCCACCAGGCCTCTCAACCTGCGCACCACAGTACGGCGGCGCCCGGGCCTACCGTGGAGACCAGAACGCGGACGTCAACCCCAGTCTCCTCTCCTAGGCCAGAAGCATCTATAGGCCCCAGACTACAGGGATAGACCCACTGACTTATGAAGTTCTCTAAGAAATTACCTTTGAACTGGCCTTCTGAGATCCGCCTGGCGTTTTGTCCGCCATCTTGAGCTTTGCCCCTCCTTCGGCGACGGCAGCAGCACGGGCGAGTCGAGCACCGAAAGAGCTGATCTCTGCGAAGCCCGCCAGAGGCGCCTGCAAGGCCGAAGAGTCGATTGCCGACAGAGCGAGTTCAGGCGAAACCGCACCACGTGACTTCCGGTGTCAGTAACTTTCCCAGCTCGGTCCATTACAGTAGTCTTCCTGGCTGTCTCGTTGTCTGGTCGCGCGTTATTGGGCCTGGGAATTTAGAGAATCTCCTTGTTCCTCCTGATATATCACTTTCTTATCCCAGCGTCAACTCTTGATAGATGCGAGGCAGTTGTATTTCCTGGGCGAGAAGGGAACCGCTCCTTAAAGAAATGCACTGCCCATCCCAGGAAGAGCTTTTACTTCAACTCAGAAGATACGTTTGGAGCTGACCGCTGGTCAGGCGATCACATCTTGGTGGGAGAGACAAACTTGCAGTCTGCTCAGATTAAGATGGTGAATGTTGAGGTAGGGCGTGGCCGAGAAGAGGAGAATTTGACCCAGTCTGAGGGTGATCCGATAAACACTCTACTTAGGGCGTCTGCAAAATGGGTACGTGGAGAGGCAATGAGAGAAAATCGTAAAATACAGACGGCATTCTAAATCTAGCATACATGTTGTGTGTCATTTTAAAAATTACATTTTACTCTTTAGTATTGTTTTCCTTTTAAATCACATAAATGGAGAAGCACCATCAACTTTTCTGTACTTAGTACTTTTTTTTTTAAAAAAGTTCTTAATCCGGATCTGGGTTAGGAAAGCTTGCTTGAGAAGGTCATGCCCGAACCGACTCAGGCAAAGAAAGGAAAGCGGAAAGGGCATTCCAGGCAGAGGGAGTAGCTGAAGTAAAACCTGTGGCGTGAATCGGCGCAGCCGGTTGTGCGGGACACCATAAGCGGTTGAAGTTTATTAGACCATGGTGAGGAAGGTCATGGCTGTACTGGTGGATAGGAGCAAGTTAACACAGGGCCTGAGTTAATCATTGTGCTCAGGAATTAGAATTCTATCCTGAGGATGAAGACTGGCTTTCAACAGTGTTGAAGGGGTCATATTTTTGTTTTAAAAGATTGCTTTTAGCACTGAGGTGGGGGATAGAGGGCATTCATGGCCCTTTCTCTCTTAATTTATTCAAAATATTTTTGAGCCCTGTTTTTGTTTTTGTTTTTTTCCTTTGAGAAAGCCTTGAAATTGAGCCCTGTTTTGTATATAAAAGCCTGCCTAAAGTGCTATAAGGCTTACGGAGACAGATAAAAATGCACTGTCTTCACATGATTTAAAACAATGAGCAATGGGAGAGACAAGGAAAAAGCAAGCTAACACTATGCATAATTTAATTGCTGCAAGGAAGGATCAATAGCTGAGAGAAGTCTGATATAAGTAATTAATTTTGAGAGTCGGATGGGGAGAAGAGATGGAGGAGGTTTCACGGAGAAGAAAGCATTTGAGCCAGTGCTGAAGAAGTAGCATTTTGTCTATTGGTTGGTGGGGGTGGAGTTTGAGGGAAGTACTTAGGACAGGATCTGATACATGGTTAGCCCTCAGGAAAGATTAACAGTCATATGTGCCAATCACTTAAGAATCTGCAGGCTATGCCGCCTGTTCTGTATGAGGGGATGGCGTTAGAAGAACAGGCAATACACAGGGAAACAAGCAAACAAGAAATGATCAGAAAGTGACAAGTGTTTTACATGAAATTAAAATAGAATGATGCTTTGCAATCTCCAATCCAATTGAATTTATTTCCAATCTTGGATCCTGTCATGACTTTTCAGTTCTGGGCCTCTTCCCTTACTCTTGCTCTGACCTATAATTGAAGTCTAAACAATTTTCTGCTCTTACTGAAGATGTCACTTCCTCCCCCACCAAGCCTAAGTCAGAGACCCTGCTTCTGTTTCCATAGGAACCTATACTTTCCTACTCAAGAAGCTCATCACATTAGATCCTAACTGTTTATAGTCTAAAATTAGAAAGTAAAATCATCAGCTGAGATGAAGGGAGAAGAAAGGGGACTGGATGTGCCTAGTGGTGTTCTGGCAATGCCACAGGCTGATTTTGTCACTGAAAAGTGCATATATGCAGGTTTTCAATCAAATCCCCAGTCCTACTTCTTTTAAAAATGTTTACTAAGGCTGAGCACAGTGGCTCACACCTGTAATGCTAGTACTTTGGGAGGCAGAGGCAGGAAGATCACTTGAGCCCAAGAGTTGGAGACCAGCCTGGGCAACAGTGAGACTTGGTCTACAAAAAATTAAAAAATTTGCTGAGTGTGGTGATGCATACCTATAGTCTCAGCTACTCGGGAGGCTGAGGCAAAAGGGTCACTTGAGCCCAAGAGTCAGAGGCTGCAGTGAGCTATGATGACACCCCTGCACTCTAGCTCAGGCAACAGAGCAAGACCTTGTCTGAAAAAAAAAAAGTTTACTAAATGTTTACCCCTAAACAGTTAAAGCAATGTAGACTTCTTCCCTAGAGCAAGTCAGACAAATGTGACCTGACTATAAGTAATACATAGGTCTTTATTAAGACTTAATTAAGTACGCTTTTAAAAATTCAAAATCACAGTTATGAGCAGAGTTCCCCTTAATACATTTAAGTCATGAAATTCTGGCCCTATTACTCAAACTACAAATTAAGGAGGGTGAGATAGCATGAATATAATCCAAATGGAATTTTATAGAACCTGAAAATTTTAATTAGATTTACAATTATTGCTAAGAGACTACACATTGGTAAGAATCATACAATTTACTGCAATTAGTATTATCTTCTTACAATCACATAAAACCATGCTATTTTTCCTCCTATGTGTTCATTCTCTAGTCCCCACCCCTGCCATTTGTTTTTAACTCTTCTCCCTGCAACAACTATGTTCAACAGAATTTACAAAGCAATGCCAAATACAGTCCATGGAGGTATTTTGTTTAGTTCAAAGGAGATTTCTTTTTCTTTGAAGTTTGAGCTAGCATTTTTAAATTTGGAGATTTTATGTTAAACTCAGGGTTTCCAGCTTTTCTTGAAAGATGGGAACGTCTGGCAATACTGGGCAATGATCCAGACGAGGTGGCCTGCAGCAACTTCTTGGGAAAGCGGCTAGGAAGAGTCTTCTGGCCAGGCTTCACCACACAGGGTGGACAAATTCTGCAAACCTGGCCTACTTGTAAGCATTTCAGTATTCTGATATACAATGTAATTCTTACCCAGGGGTGATGATCAAAATGTTAACAACCAGTCCCCCAGGCACCAAGCAAAACTGACTTACCTATTAATTAGGCACAGAAAGCTCAGTACCTAGGGCTTACAATAATTTTTAGAACCCCCCCCCAAAAAATGTTTTAATTTCTTTTTTAAGAAAAGGGGAAAATGGAGTGGAGAAAGAATTTAACATCATGAATGGAGCTGTAATCCCAGCACTTTGGGAAGCTGAGGTGGGAGGATCGCTTGAGGCCAGGAGTTGGAGACTTGTCTGGGCAAGATGGTTAGACCTTTGTCTCTAAAAAAAAAAAAAAAAAAAAAATTAGCCAGGCATGGTGCCTCACACCTGTAATCCCAACTACTTGAGAAGCTTGGGGGGAGAGGGTGGGTGGGGAGGGATCACTTGAGCCCAGGAGTTTAAGGCTACAATGAGCTATGATCATGCCACTGTACTTGAGCCTGGGTAACAAAGCAAGACACCCGTCTCTATAAAAACAAACCAAAACAATATTTATGGTTCTGAAACCTTTACATGCTGAAAAATAGAGACCTTAAAAATGATTGCCCCAAAACTAAAACCTCCTATACTGTGTCAATGTACTGCTCCTACTTGGTGGTGCTTTCATTCTAGAAAATTTTTAAGAAGCTTTTTTCCTGCTCTCTAGGATTTAGGATATAGGGTGGTGAAAGCACAATCCCATCCATTTGTTCATTTGGCATTTATTGAGTTTCTTTCTAGCACTTGCCAGGCTCTGAAGAAAGAAAAGGAAAGACAGCTAAAAATCAGATCTAGCCTCTTCTGCCAAGATAGATCTTAGCTGTTTCTAGGAATAGTCAGGGAACAGCCTTCAAGGAGAGTGTGGTCTGTGTTAAATGGAAGATTCTTTCTGATGAACTTGATTGCCTGCCCCACACTCACACTGCAGTGCTAGCCACACAACTAAAATTTCAGCGGCAGCAGCAGCTTCTCTTCCCTCTCCCACCAAAAAATGACCTGCCTTACTTATTGATTACATATATTAATATACATTAATATATAGAATTCTTTGGCAATAGTAATTAGCATTGGTATTTTTTAAAACTGCAAATGCCTGGGAGGTAAGAGATATGTAAAAATGGTGTCCAAAAGCCTACAGCCCAAGAATAGGCTGGTGACATGTTGAAGATAACAGAAATTGCAATTTTAACTATGATCCTGATGACAAGAACACCCTTACTGTGTTGCAATTATTCTACCAACAAGGTTAATAAAACCCAGGATGGTCCAGATGGAGAGATATGGAAATGGGTGTTCCTAAAGTGAATGTGTGTGTGTTTGTGTATGTGTGTGTATATGAGACAAAGGAGAACTCAAGGTACCCATGACACTTCATGAGAACCAGAAGACAGCAACATCTGGGGAGTGTTCTCTTGCCATGGCCTGGCAGTACAAAGGTGGGCTTGACTTGAACCTCCAGAGATTAGGCCTCACTAAACCTGTGACCTGGCTTTGGCCAGTGGGGAGTCCATATATCCCCATGTGACTGACACTCTTGAGACAAAACCAGCAAATATAAAAAGCTGGTGGAGAATGAAGTTATGAAGAAAAAGAGAAACAAGATTATTTCCCTTATCATTTGTGATTTCCTTTGGCTGTTAGTAACAGAAATTTAACTGCACTGGTCTTAAAATACATAAGGCTTTATTTTGACATTACTATAATGGTAAGTTTCTATCAAAGAACATGGCATACCTTTCTTCTTTTTCAAGTTTCGTTCCATTTCCTTCATATTGATTTTGCACATTTCCTACTATTTTAATTCTTAGGTGTTTTATCTTTTCTGTTGTTACTATAAATAGCACGTTTTTGCATTATTTATATATGTCTGAAATAATTGTTTATTAATTGCTACACATTACTGTTGTATAGTGTGTTTACTGAATTATTCTATTTGTATAGTTTTTAAGATTATTCTCTTGAGCTTTCAGGAATACAATCATATTTGCAAATAATTACCAGCTTATTTCCTCCTGTCCCAGTTTTATATCTTTTTTCCTTGAATACTTACATTAGCCAGTACCTCCAGAATAATGTTAAGTAAGAGGGGTTCTGGTCTTGTTCCTGACTTTAATGAGAATGCTTTTAGCATTCTCAAGAGGATAGGGTGACTTTGGGGTTGTACGCTGAATTATATATTAATTTTTTTAGCTAACCATGGAACTGAAACTACAGAATTTAAAATTCTCATAAAAAGCTCAGGATACTATGAGGATACACCAAAGAATGGTCAGCCAACCCTATTAGAGAAATACTGTTATAGGCTTGTGTCAAGACAAACCAGGACATCTCCATGACTTGGGAAGATAAGA